TTCTGCCGTGAAGCAGTAATGCGTTTCGGTTTGAAGGGTGGGGCAACCGTTTGTAAGTATATTGAGACCTTAGAATTTATATCTCAAGGCTTAAATAAATAAAGGTGGGTGGCGCATTTACGTCGTAGATGTCTATGGGCTCCATTAACCACTTAGCACCAGGTGAGCTCGTCATTTAATTTAATTTCATTTAACTCAACTTTTTTGACGTGTTTTATTTATTTTAGATTTTTCCAAATGAGTTTGTTTACGCTGGAAACTGCAAAAAAGGCGTGACGCCATCACGGTTGCTTAAATTTACACAAATGTTTTAAACAAAATGTAATAAGTCAATATTGTACATATATAAACGAAATATTTACGAGGTCTTTCAAACAAAAAAAATACGCATTTTGTCGTCAAGAGCAATATTGTATGTTAATCTTAATTGTTTTGTCTGTTTAATTCCACGGTGAAGGAATAACATCGTGTAATAAAAATCAAGCCCGCAAAATTATAATTTGCGTAATCACTGGTGGTAGGACCACTTGTGAGTCCGCGTGGATAGGTACCACCGCAATGCCTATTTCTGCCGTGAAGCAGTAATGCGTTTCGGTTTGAAGGGTGGGGCAGCCGTTGTAACTATACTGAGACCTTAGAACTTGTATCTCAAGGTGGGTGGCGCGTCTACGTTATAGATGTCTATGGGCTCCAGTAACCACTTAACACCAGGTTGGCTGTTAGCTCGTCCACCCATCTAAGCAATAAAAAAAAAAGGAAAAAAAATTAAAACTGTTTGAGACGTTAAACAACTCGTACACAGTTCTAAATTTATTTGAAATCTGTATTTAATTACTCATATTTTTCCGCTGGTAGCAACATTGAACACACAAAAAAATATATTATTATGTATATTTAAAAAAAAGTAATTACACATCTATGCTTGCTTTTGAAAAAAAAAAACGATAGTAGTTTCGCATCTATGCTTGTTAGTCTACGGACAGATAGGTAGCTTAAAATAAATAAATAAATAACAAAACGTTGGTACCGCACGCGTCGCTTCATTATTTTCGAACGATTGACAGGCACTTCCATTGCTCTAGTCGCGGCTGCGGTGCGCGACACCCGCTTCGCTATCAAATTCAATAATACGCCTACTTATTGCTCCTGAGCAATTTGTAGCCAGAATACAACATCTTGATACGTTGCATTTTATTAAATTAGACATTATCAAAACTACTTTTACGGTTTTAATGCAGCCTTTATTTATTTATTTTACCATTATATTAAGTCTGAATATATACTTTATAGACAAATAGACGGTAATTAGTGCTGGGCATTCAAATGTAGACGAATAACACCTTAATCGTATGACAATTTTAATGACAATAATGAACGCGATTAATTAACGGAAAAGTAGTTATGATTATGTCTACATCTCGCTACATCTGAAAATAATATCAATTTTCCTTTTTTTATTGCTATTTTTTGGCAATAGTTATGGTGTTAGGACGTATCAATGTATTCTAGCACAGATAGACACCATTCTGCCTAATTCTCCCACGTTCCGGTTTGAATGTTGGAAAAGCCAATTGAAACATCGAGGGTCGGTGCCGTCAAACATATTATAATGTCTATGGGATTCTGTAACCTCCGAACACGAGTTGAGCCGTAAGCTTTGTCTACCCAAATAGAGCAGATAAAACATAGCCACAGGGTTTCCAGAGATAAAAGTAGAATAGCAGAAGAATAAAACAAGACCAGCTAGCAATGTCCAAATCAATAGCGTGTTAGTGTGAGGAATATATTTCATCTCGTGACAGCCATCAGTGATAGATTTACCGTAACAGATACATGTAATTATTTTATCTAAAAACAAAACTGTCTGTTAAAAAGTTGTCACATATTTAATTCCTGAACATCCTTCACTTTAAGGTAGAAAAAAAACTCAAAGAACTTCACATAGAATTACTACCTATTAGTTTGTTTACTCAATTTAAAGTTTAAATAATTCGAGCCTTCTTAAAGTATCAAAATCGATAGATTAACGAGTGACTGAGACGTGTGCTATCGTGAACAGCGGTGGCGAATCGCAAAACTTCATGAATAAATATAAATTCGATATTCCTTTTGAATGAAAACGTCGAATAAAAAGATGATCTATCATAGAAATCTATTCAGAATGGTCTTTTATAACTTTTAAATAAACATCGTCTTTGGGATGACGTACAAAGTGGTGCGTGGCGAATTTGAGTTTCTTTTTTTTTCTCGTATTAGTTTTTATGTCACAAAGGGATCTAATGAGGAGCGGAGGAAGCCTACGCAAAACGATGACTTTACGTTTATTTCTCTAAAGTGTAATGTTGAAATGTTTTTTTTTTCTATTTGTAGACGCTGAAATAAATTTAAAAACGTAACAATGGTTTTATATAATATTGTTTGTTTGTAACAATCAAGGAAACTTCAACATAGCACTGGCAACATAACAACCATCTCACTGGTGGTAGAACCTCTTGTGAGTCCGCACGGGTAGGTACCACCACCCCGCTTATTTCTGCCGTGAAGCAGTAATGCGTTTCGGTTTGAAGGGTGGGGTAGCCGTTGTAACTATACTGAGACCTTAGAACTTATATCTCAAGGTGGGTGGCGCATTTACATTGTAGATGTCTATGGGCTCCAGTAACCACTTAACACCAGGTGGACTGTGAGCTCGTCCACCCATCTAAGCAATAAAAAAAAAGCATTTAACGATAAGTTGTTTTCTTTAGATAAATTAAAGAAAGTTCTATTAATCATTTTAAATTATAAATTTTAGCCATGCGTTGCCTCATAACAGCATTTTCGGTGTAGATACCGCCAAATGGTACGCTCTTGATGCTGTACTTTTCTGTTGAAAGTTTGCATAATTACAATCAATTTATTATTGACATAAAATCATCCTCAGTTTCATAAATTATTCCTACACTTTGCGTTAGAAATAGTAAGAACTGTGCTAAAATACGCGTCTTTATACACTAGAGAAATGATCGCGTTTTAAACATTACATCAACTATAAATACTAAAGAATTGTAGGTATGTTGTACCTATTTTGATATTTTATAATAAATTATAATACGTCACTAGTTATACATTTAGATAGACATACTTCAGAGTGAGAAACGTCTTTAGTATCAAACGAATTTATTATGAGAATTACAAATTATAAAAATATATCAAAAACATCGTAAATATAGATATAAAATATTGATTTAGTTCATTTTATTATATATTCAAGCACCTACCAGGCAAACACGAATTTTTAATTTCATAATTTTTCGATAGCTAATCTTGTTTTAATAAATTATTAAATGAAAGGTTGATTGATATTATGTTTCCATGAATATTGAAGCTATGAATATTAATCGCTTACCCAGCACGGCTTTAAAATTTTCACGATTGTTTAATGACAGATAAATTAGTATTTTGCTTAAATACTCACATTTCGTTGAAAAGCCCAGGTAACCAATGGTCCCCCGGTGAGGTTTACGGGGCGGCGAGGCCGCGTGCACGATACCGGCGCTCTTAGTGGGGTCGTCATACCGCATCACCGGGGCATGGGACGGGTCTTGGGGCGAACCACTCTGCCCGGGCTATTTGAAAATTACCAGCATTCTAGCGCGCTGGCAATAGTTCTACAGAACGGCCCTACGGAACTACTGTGTTGAAGAGCGATCGGTTCACGGCGTTCCAAGAGCGGATTCCCTCCTACCTTGTCCGGGATCGATTTCGGAAAGGCATTGGGCGTCCAGCGAGTACAAGGGATTTTTTTAGCGGATGGACCTATAATGTCTTCGACCACGGACTCCCCCGCTTATTATGCTCCGTCTCCGCCTCGCCCAGGACCCAGTCACCGTAGACGCCCTAGATACAGATACATTCTTAAGGATCCGGTAGTAGATACATAGGTATGCGAAGCAGCTGCCCTTGAGCTGTTAGGTCACCTTCGGAGACACTAGAGTGTCTATTATCAAATCCCACCCCTCCTGGCTGAATAGGGGTGGGAGAACACTCCCCGTGGAATATACGGTAAAAAACACAGAGAGAACTGAAGTTCGACGACCCAAACATTCCAAACGATCCGTCTGAACGAGATTATTGATAATACGAACGGCCCTTCGGATTCTCCTCTTCTGTATAGATTCAAATGAAAGCAGCTGGTATTTGAGAGCCCCAATACAGCGATGGATGCAGTACTCCACAAGAGGCCGAAGTTGTGCTTTGTAAAACACAAGTCTTTGCTTACAACATCGTAGAAGCTAGCTAGAATTTGACGACACCTTCCAAATCCCTTCGATATGAAACAAAGGTTACAGGAATACTCCTTGAAATAGTGGCACTATGACATCTCCACTCATTTGATTTCATTTCATAATCGGCCTGATTTCATTTCGTCCTATTTCACCTTCATACTGTATCATATAGACTTCGGCCTTTGTTAGAAGATTTTGCTGATAGATTGTATTTCCTTTGCATGCCCAATGGATATTTCATTAATTTCATCACACAACAATTTATCATCATGTGACTTTTTGGCAGGAACGCGAGGAAGGAAGTTGTGTGAATTGTTTTATTTTGTCTATTTAGTGTTTCTTCGGGCTTAAGTGTGTAATAACAATGGTTTATTAACTGTTTAGTATCGGTGAAAGTGCACAAATGTGGAAAAATTAAACAAAGCTGCTGGACGTAGCTTTTCGGGATCCTCTAAAAAGTCCACTAAAAAGTCTCAGTAAACATTAAGCAACCACCTTTTTACTGAGATTATATTTCATCCCATATTATCTCATCTCATTTCATTTAATTTCATGTCAATTGATTAATGTTCCAAATTAATCAACTTCATTTAATTTCACTCCTTAATACATATATATCATTTTTCATAAAAAAGAATATAGAAGGTTAGGCTGTATGATGGCTGTATGGTATGATATCTATCTTTTCAGTTGGAAAAACAGAACTCCTACTTTATGATTATGACATTCATGACATTTCTCGCCGGATTCAAAAGTCAACAGGGAGTGACTTTCAAAAAATACAATTATAAAGTTTAAGAAACAAAAAATTAAGGTACTAATTTTTACATAATCCCTATTTTATTGATTACTTTTGTAACTTAGACATTTAATTTTATTAAAGCACTAAGGCTTTAGATATTATTCGCATAACCTACAGATGACGCTACAAAATACAAACAATTTTCACTACAATGAAATGCATCTTTCTAATCACAAGTAACTTATATATTTTCCAGTTTATTACCTACTACCCGTTAAATGGCGACATCAGTGATCAATACCTACTCTGATCCTTCCCTACCGGAGTGGATGAGCGCCCCTCATAGTACGGGAACTTCAATCATGGCATGCGAGTTTGATGGTGGAGTCGTCATTGGAGCTGATTCCCGTACCACAACAGGCGCTTACATAGCCAATCGAGTCACCGACAAGCTGACGAAAATCACGGACCAGATATACTGCTGCCGCTCAGGATCCGCTGCCGACACTCAAGCCATAGCTGATATTGTAACATATCATTTGAGTGAGTATCCTCCTTCAGTCGACCACTCATTGCTGAGCATCGTGATGCGCCCGCCTGTGACTTTTTTTGTAATTTGTAGCCACTTATGTCGGTCAGTGGCACAGTGTAGTGCGTGGCTCAGTCTCATGTCCAGGTACTCAGACACTTGGTCACTCCATCTTTCTCGGCTCTGACCTCTTGATCGTCTTCCGTCCACTTTACCTGTCACATTTATATATAACTCAATATGGTTAAATTTTCCTTTATGGTCTATAAATTTTTGGGTTTGTGGTGGGGAGGGGGGTAAGAGCTTACCCCCTGCACCATCACCAACCTGCAGAACCCCATGGTTATGAAGATATCTGTGGTTAATGTTATAGATTAAAATACCATTATTTAGTCAATAATGTGTAGAGAAAAGATGCATGTAACAAGGAGATGTATGGAAATGGTAGTGCAAGGTAGGTTAGTCAAACTTGAAGGAAGATTCCTTCTCTGTATAGATGTAATGTGTGTATGTAATGGAATAATCATGTAGGGTAACAGTATTGTCCCTTTTTCATAGCCACAAAAAAATGGTAATTCCATAATGGACACAAGGCATGGTGAAGGTTTCTTAATAAAAACAACAAATGACATGCAAAATGATGTGCGACAGTGTGCTATGTAAAAATAAAGCAATTATCCATTAACGCTGATTTCATGTCTTAAATCAGTTTTAAGAGCTACGGGTAAAAGCATCCACATTGTAATGACAAAATTAGTAGCCATTTAACACCAAAAGGTTCTCAATTCCATATTAAGCAATAAAAAGTAACATTTTTATTTTTATATGGTTTCCACCTAGTACTGCATTTCTGATCTGTTTCCAAATGTATTGTAACAGGAGATTTCAGAATTCCCCAGAGATTATTAGGTCTATGTGCTCAGGGAACAATTTTACATGACATGGACTTGTTCAACATTAAGCAACTTTGTAAATAGTAATAAAATGTGATTATTACAGACTTCCACAAGATGGAATTAGGAGATCCACCACTAGTGGAAACTGCTGCAGCAATATTCCGAGAGCTCTGTTACAACTACCGTGACTCATTGATGGCTGGTATTTTAGTTGCTGGATGGGACAAAAAGAAAGGAGGTAATCCTTTTTTAGAATCTTTATTTTAACCTTGCATCTAATGATCATCATCATCATCATCAGCCTTTATCTGCCCACTGCTGGACATAGGCCTTCCCCAATGCCTTCCACATAATGCGGTCCTAATATTACATTGACATATCTCATAGAAATGAAGCATACATTATTTTCACAAAAATAATTACTTTCACACAGAATTAAAAATGTTACAGATAACTGTGCCCTTGCTGAACCTACATTGAGCTTTCACTCTATAATCTTTCTCCCCTGACTATACTATAGATTACCTTTTATAATGGTGAATAGATGATGTAACTTATACAGAATGGAATAACTCCTCAATATTACTGGTCACTAAGTAGGAAATAAACTCATCTAAATTATTTGAAATATTTTCAGCTCAAATTTACTCCATACCTATTGGTGGTATGGTGCAGCGCCAAGCGGTGTCAATTGGGGGCTCCGGATCCTCCTACGTCTATGGCTACGTTGACGCCAATTTCAAGCCCAATATGACCAAGGAAGAAGCCAAAAAATTTGTTACGGACACACTGACATTGGCTATCCTTCGTGATGGCTCTTCTGGTGGTGTTGTCAGACTCGGAGTAATTACTGAAGCTGGTGTGGAACGCTCTGTTATTCTTGGAGATCAACTTCCCAAATTTTATGAAGGTTAATTATATTTTTGTAATTTTTTAAGATTAATAAAAGAATGAAAAAACAAAAGCTTTTACTTTTTATTCAGAAATTTATTTTCAATCTTAAATAATAAACCAATTTTACTGCATTTCACATAACACTTAAGACTATTTTACTAAACTAAGTGACAAGAGCCAACTCTTCCATGGTGTCAAGGTCTCGTAACAGCATCTGAACAGTCTGTTTTGTGCGCGGAAAGTAATCAGGTGTCTCATCATCTTCAAACGATGGGTCTTGTGATTCTAATTCTATAAAAAAAATACTAGTTAAAGAATAAAATTATGACAATAGGATAGTGAACACTATTCTTCCTATAGTAATCTCTGTAGGATAACAAGTAGGAATATGTACTAGTCAGACACCGTACAGACACAAACAGTTGCAATAACAACCATTAATGGTAAAATATAAATAAAGCAATGAGTTACTTAATCTAGTCTTCTTTCTCATACCCTGACTCAGCAAGATTGCGACCACATGTGACTTCCCTCCATAGTGTTTGGTGGCATGGACCACATGGTATAGACTACCACCAACCGCTTTCTTAACCAGATCCAACCATTTGACTGATGCCCACGGCGCGCTGACCTTCTACACAACCCTCACCACTTTTTTTTTCTTTATTGCTTAGATGGGTGGACAAGCTCACAGCCAACCTGGTGTTAAGTGGTTACTGGAGCCCATAGACATCTACGACGTAAATGCGCCACTCACCTTGAGATATAAGCTCTAAGGTCTCAGTACAACGGCTGCCCCACCCTTCAAACCGAAACACGTTACTGTTCACGGCAGAAATGGCAGGGCGGCGGTAGGTACATGCCCGTGCGGACTCAAGACTTCCTACCACCAGTGATAAATTAGTACAAATTGTGAATTGTTAATACTTGCCTGCGACCTGTGCTTCGATGGAGTCCAGTCTGGCGTCGAGCAGCGCCTGGCAGCACGTGATGTGCCGCAGAAGTCGTTCCCGGCACACGTTATTGTCTATGGCCGCCTCGGGTTGTGGCGCCCTCACCAACTCTTGTTCTTCAACAACATATCGATACATCAGTTTTTTTTTCGACGTTGAATTCAACTTTATTTACTATTATGAGCATAAGACGGGCAATCGAGATCACAACCCAACTGGTATTAATGATTACTGCAGGCCATAGATACAATAAATTAAATTTAAATTGTGACTTTTCTAAAACATTAAAAAAAACTAACTATAAGAACAATTCACGCGGGTGTTTTTTTTTATTGCTTAGATTGCTTAGAGCTCACAGCCCACCTGGTGTTACGTGGTTACTGGAGCCCATAGACATCTACGACGTAAATGCGCCACCCACCTTGAGATATAAGTTCTAAGGTCTCAAGTATAGTTACAATGGCTGCCCCGTCCTTTAAACCCAAAGGCATTACTGCTTCACGGCAGAAATAGGCGGGGTGGTGGTACCTACCCGTGCGGACTCACAAGAGGTCCTACCACCAGTAGATGTCTTACCTTTGCCAAATTCAAAAAGTAAAATGAATACCTTCTACGGATTTCGCCAGCTTTTCCAACTCTGAAGTGCTTATAGGCAAGTCCAGGGAAGTTCCACCGGGACTTGAAAGCATCCCGCCGAGCATAGCGGTCGGCGCCGCTTGACTGTCGCGCTGTAGAAACCTTCAATAACAACAAGTAAAACGCTTCAATGCAACAAGTATATTAAATAAACAAGTATTTCAAATACGAATGTGCGCCATATTGTGACGTCATAGCTGTCAAATCGAAAAAATAGGTAAAGCCAGTAAAAAATATAGGTATTTTTAAATATTAATTTATAATCGAATTTGACAAATCTTCAAGTTTGCCGATTCCACTCATCCCACTGCTTGAGTAATAATCATTATCGTCGCCCATTCATAGATTATAGGGCCCGACAGTGTTGCAGCCTTGATTTTTATATAGGTGTTTTTTTTTATATAATCTAAATTCATCATCATCATCATCATGTTTAATTTACCTCGACCAGTACTCAGCATATCAAGAAAATTATATAGGTGTGTATAGCTCATTAAAACAAACATATTAATAGTCTTCATAATTAGTTATAAAAATCACTAATATTGAAGATAATACACTTTTGTTGCTGTCCATACTTTTTATCGAACTTTGACAGATCAAGGTCATTGACGTGCACATTCTTATTTGAAATGCACTATTAAAGTGCTCCTTAATAAATGTTAACAGAGGTCATCCTAAATTCCTTTAAAAAAAAATTTGTTTTTCTTCCCTATCTACTGCCCGTAGCTTCGAGGGACTATTCTGGCTTCACCTTTAGTGTAGGCGAGTTCACAGGGTCTCCAGCCTGAGAGACTTGGCTAACATCAGCTCACGTTTAAATAAAAAAAGTAGAATGGCTACCTAGTCATACTATTTATTGCCTGTTTACTAGATCAGACAATGTAAATTATTTATAAAAATTGTATGGACCGTTAAATACTTTAATGCAAATCGGGATGGATACTTTGATGAGCTCACCTACCCGACCGGGAGTAGCTGGAATGATAACATCTAATGATCTCTCAACACTAGTCCGCAACATCTGTTCACGATATAACCTAACCTAATCTATCTTAAGAGAAGGGAGCCTGGAGATCAGTAATACCTTCTCACTGGTGGTAGGACCTCTTGGGAGTCCGCACGGGTAGGTACCACCAACCTGCCTATTTCCGCCGTGAAGCAGTAATGCGTTTCGGTTCGAAGGGTGGGGTAGCCGTTGTAACTATACTGAGATCTTAGAACTTATATCTCAAGGTGGGTGGCGCATTTACGTTGTAGATGTCTATGGGCTCCAATAACCACTTAACACCAGGTGGGCTGTGAGCTCGTCCATCCATCTATGCAATACAAAAAAAATAAAAAAATACAGGTCTTTGAACCTAGTACAGACTCCAGCTCTTTCAAACGGTTTACAAAACAAATTATAAGGTTCATTTCTACATATTTGTATTTGTATTATACCTTTGAGAAATAAATAAATTAGCTATTATTATTATTATTATATAAGATATCTATTTCAAATGATAATTTGGCATCTTATAAACCATTTAAGACTATCCACCCACTACCGCACCTCCTATACACATGTGATGATATATATATAATATATGAATGTGATGTTTCAAAGGCGAACACAAGAAAACATTCAAATACTTTTTACGGTTTAGGGACAAGGTTATATTTTCACATATTAGGTATGTTATGAAGGGTCAGCGACCTAGCACCTTAAGATATGAACGTCATAACTAATATTTAATTTTTTTGTTCAATACCTGTCGCCGTCTTCTTCACCGGGCGTCAACCGCACGTCCATTTGCAGATCCCTAACGTCTTCGGGTTTGATGGGCAGGTTTTCTTTGCCCAAAGCGCTTATCATTATGTTTAGGTCAGAATAATCAGAATTAAACTTCCCTTGGGTCTGCGCTACCTCAGCCTGATCCCAGTCCTTGGCCCAGAGGTATAATTTCGGATGATTCTTTTTACTGTAAATTATTACAATTAAAATGATTAGGTTATCGACTTGCCTCATGACAATCTGGTGATGGGATATATCTAATTGGTATTAGATTAGCATAGTGATTTCTGCAGTCTTAACGGTATTATTTGGAAATAAGATTCTACCATTCTACCGTTTAATGAGGCAATTCAGTCTCTTTGTAGACATGCAAGCATACGGCACCTATATTAAAATTATTTTGTCCGTGCAGTTTGGGTCATAAAACATAGCCCGGCTAGGGCAGTGAGCATGTTGCGCGGGCGCAACGTCATTATCGATAAAAACAAATGAGTCATCGAAGGCAGGTACACGGCGGCGGGGCGGTATACGAAGGATTGTGAGACATTGTTATATTATGAGTCATTTGTTGTACTTACCTGCAAATTATAGTACATATTATGTCGAAAAGAAATGTGTTTTTATGCATTCGCTCTCTGAATTTATTTAGTGACACAATGGCCACTCCTTTGTTTTGTACCAAAACGGTAGAGTTTATTCAAATATTTGCACGTGCTGTTATCAACAATGTGTTAAAAAATTCACTAAAATAAGAATAACTCCCGAAAAGTTACAAAGTGTTAATTTCTACCGTTCTCGTTAACTTGCTCCCGCGATATGTGGTGTAAGTGTTCGATTAGTGATTTTTTCTTTCATTTTTATCACTAACCCACAAAATGACAAAACTAAATACACTATTGATAACGCTTATCGACAACAATAAAGCGCATCACTATGCCCGTCCATAAGGCTGGTGAGTGGAAGAGAGAGCGAAATATTCGCTTCACCGCTCCGATTATTTATGACCTAAACTGCACGGACAAAATAATTCTACTACAGTCTACACAACTCATGGACATTGACAATGCCACGTGTACAACCATACAGCTGTCTAGTGCTGAGGACTCCTTAAATCTCGTTTAAAGAATGACATGTCATAGCGCTCGAGAAACATCGCTGGGGGGGGAGTTCGTTCCGGGTCCGGATGACGTCACATGTGCGTAAAGGCGAGTATCGGTGGGTATAGTTACAGCGCGACGTGGTAGTGCAGGGCGAGCGCGTGCAGCGAGTCCCGCAGCCGCAGCAGGTTCCCGGACAGCTCGTGCGCGCGGCGCAGCGCCCCCAGCGGCCGCCCGCCCGCCGCGCGCCCCTGGAACTCCAGCTCCTGCTCGTGCGCGAACCGGCGAGAGCGCCGCCCGCGCCGCGGGTTCAAGCATATGCTGCACGTGTACTTCTCGGGCACCTGTAAAACACAATCACTAACGGTGGGCAGCGGCTTGACTCTTCCCCTACCCTCACTAGCAGGTGGGCCATATGCTCGTCGCCCTACAAAGGCAACAAAAAGAAGAGAAAAAAACAGCCTCTAGAGTATCGACTGAGAATGACACCACCCCGTCTATTTACTCATTGCTTTGATGGGTGGACGACCGCACGGACCACCTGGTGTTAAGTGGTTACTAGAGCCCATAGACATCTACAAAATAAATGCCGCCACCCACCTTGAGATATGACTTCTAAAGTCTCAGTCAGTCGTTATGCAATACAATTGAAATTGGCTAATATCTATACGCTGCGTGGATTCCACCACCCATCTGCTCAATAACAACGTACAACTCGACCAAAATAAGTTTGTACCTCGCGTCGATTACGTCACATTGCCGCTTAGGTACGGTCTGAAAAAAGGATTCGCTATGACTTTAAAAATGTAAACAAATGTTTGTTAGAATTTACTTTGCATTCTTGTTTTTAACAATATATTTTGCATACGTACATTCGAATATAGCGATACCGGGTTTTTGTATTAAGACTACCAACCCGAGCGTTCGTGAAATTTTTAAATTTGGATCCCTATAATGCTCAGTAATAATTTTTCTTACTCTTTTATTTTTTGGCCTGGATAATTGAGATCTCCCTATTATCAGCTTTTTCTTCTTCGAAAAACCACAATATTTTCAGGATTATGTTTCCCTCTTCAATGTGTATCACCTTTCCTTTCATTTTTGTTGTCCACAACAACCCTCTCAAAGTTAAAAAAAATGAACGTTAACCGTTCACCAAAATCTTAACAAAAACAGTCCAGTAAATACAACAAAAATTCAACAAAAACAGTTAAAGAAATTAAAATTCAACGGATAGGGAGTCGAAAACTCGTATGACGCGTGTCGGCAACAAAGATGCTAACCGTACTGACCGCGGCAGGGCGATGGCGAAAAGGCGAAAAGCGGGCGGAGCGCCGCATTCCAGCGAGGTGCAAACTTAACTTGGTCGAGTTGTAGCGTACAAGTTCGGATGGTTGGTTGGGTTACAAACCTGCGACTCGCTCTGTATGTTGTGGCAGAGCGCGTGTTGCCAGCACAGACAGAGCTCGCACTGCACCATCAGACCGTCCTCCTCGCGGAACCCGCAGTGGCAGTTGATGATCTCTTCGCGCTTCATGTGTACTATTTTAATTCTTTCCCCGCCTAATAAAAAAAATCAACAATAAAGAACAGAAATAAAAAGGCTTCAAGAAAATTTATTGTTAATATCATCAGCAGAGGCGGATTATCCGTAAAGCAAACTAGGCACGTGCCTAGGGGCGTGTAGTTACAAGGGGCAGGGAGAGAATTTCGAAGATAGGAGATGAGGTACAGTACCGAGCTATAAATATTGCACATAAAACTTTAACAATCCCGTGTCTATTGGGACTGTACACTGACGCACTTGAACGACGACTGACAAGCGTCACATACGTAGTGCGCGACAGAGACAACACTCTACAAACCCGAAATTAGCCGACTGTCTCTTTCCAAAGTTCGAAGTGTAATATTTACCGCCGGGCACTGTACTTATTCAAAACTTACTTTCATTATACATGTACATGTTGTTATCTTTTTCCTCGTTGTTGGATTCCGACGAGACGGGCTGATGCTGTTTCACGTCTGTGCTCTTGGAATCTGGAGTCCCGGAGCCCGGGAAGCTGGACCGGGTGTCCACGTCCGACGTTCCCATGAACCAGTCCTCGTCCTCGCTTTGCTTTTGCGAAACCGACGCGAACTTCCTGTTGTGAGCCCTCTTTAGTTTCTCGAGTAAAGGCTTGGTGACCGTGTGCGTCGATATGGCCGTTTCGAAGTCCAAGATGGGCGTCTGAGCGCCGACCAGGTCGGACTCGCTGTCCTGCAGCACTTCCTCGTTGGAGGCCTGGTCTTCGGGGCGCCGGACCGGCAGCAGCACGCGAGGCCGCTTCACCGGTTTGCTGACGAGCGCGTCGCGGAGCTTCGGCGAGTCTTGCAGCTTTAGGAAGCTCTCCGTACTGTCCGGCGTGACGGGCGCAGACTCCAACGCGTCCGGTTTCATTTCAAACGCCTCCGCTTTCGGCTCTAGTCGTTTCGGTTTCAGCACCCTTGGCCTTTTAGGTTTCTTCTTAACTTGACCTCTGACCGGTTTAGTTCTTGCATAGGCCAGATCAAGAACTTTAGGGGTCGCTCCTAACATTTTCTTCATCTCCCTGTGATAGTGTTTAATATGCATCTGTAGAAGGGCACTGTTTCGGAAATTCTTGTAGCATCCTTCGGCCGGACACTTCAACAGATTGTCTGATATCTGAACTTTTAATGAACCCACGTATACTGAAACAACAAGCAATTTCTATTAAATATCTCTTGTGGGATCACGCGTATTTACGATAAGACTTTTATCACGGTACAAACACCACATAAATACAGGGTACCATATAATCGATTTATATGTATGTATGTATGACTATAAGCCATTCTGATGATATTATATGATGATGACTTATGACATTATAAATGTGAATATGTGTTTGTCCTTCTTTCACGTTGAAAGGAAGCAATGGATTGATTTGATTATTAAAAAAAATTGTCACGGAACGTAGCTTCTGAGATATTAGTCTGGCAACACGGTCTTTAAAATAAGAGACTAGTCAAAAATATGTGAAACGTATCGGCTGTAGCTTTCTAATTTTTACTTAATTTTAATATTGTAAATGTACTAAATAGACGGTCATACGGAAGAAAATCTCGTATTAATCATTAGCAAGTATTTTCCCTCAAGATCTGCCACAAAAGTAATAGTATTAGGTCAGTAGCATAGAGACATAGGCTCCTTTTATGTCGAAAAAAAAAATCTCATGCTCGCGGGAAACTATTATAATACTTTCCTGACCACGCGGTGGTAGCTAGCTAGTGTTTTCATTAATTACAGGGGAATCTCAAACTAACTTCAAGGATTAAAAGGACCAGATTCTTACAAAACTATTAACATACACAGAATGACTTTGCAGAATGTTACCTTTAGCTTATACGAAAGTAAGTGCCACTTAAACTGGTTTACAAGTGACGCAGCCTATACATTAATTAAGGTATTTCATAGGTTTACACAATTTAAGCTCTCATTAAAAAGAACTAAATACTTTTTTTTTAATTAATGACATGAATTACATGTCGACGCTTGAAAGGCAAGCGTGACTAAGCGACAATGCGTGAACTTTACAGCAGACTAAATTAAAGTTGAAATACCTGAAAAAATAATAATATTTTAACGAAGTAGAATCTAGCTAGTAACTGTAGGATTGAAATGATTTTAATAGACCTAGAAATATATTTATTTTGCGCATCGAATATGGTTATTGCCTATCATTTATGTATAAAGTAGTTATTGTCGCTTAGTCACGTCTGCCTTTCAAGCGTCGATATGAATACACCATTTATTCAATCTATATATTTTCTGATATTGTTGCTAATATTTTCAAGCATTTATTATTTAATAGATATTTCTTATATATTTTCTCGGAATCTTCATTTTTTATTACGTACTTGGCCGAACTAAGTTAAGGCCAACCTGGTGGTAAACAGTGAGTTGAATTACTCTAAGCTCAACTCAATTCAATGTTTTAGGGTAAAGTTTAGGCCAAAAAATTTTTTCCTACCTAAGTTGATGGTCTAGAGTACTCTAGAGTCTAGAGAAACCATGTCAGCGTCACCTAGCTACCTCAGGCCAAAGGGTATCGCTTGTCTTTTATGGTACTAGGCACTAGTGACACTCGGATCGCCTATCGGTACTTGTATCCGAAAACATCAAATTTCTAGAAGCTACTCGCACGCCATCTGTCGCAAGTCTATAATACTTTTTTTTTTATTGCTTAGATGGGTGGACGAGCTCACAGCCCACTTGGTGTTAAGTGGTTACTGGAGCTCATAGACATCTACAACGTAAATGCGCCACCCACCTTGAGATATAAGTTCTAAGGTCTCAGTATAGTTACAACGGCTGCCCCACCCTTCAAACCGAAACGCATTACTGCTTCACGATAGAAATAGGCAGGGTGATGTATAATCCACAACGTTTTGATGTTTCGTCCAAATCCATACAGCGGTTTTTTGGTTGAAAATAGCCTAATCGTTATAAGTGGTGGAATAAAATCTATTAATACCATAGCCATCTTCCAAAGGTTCCAGAGCTAGATCGTTGAGTGGGGCATCGGCACCAGATGCGTAGCTCGAAGGCTCACAGCTAGTTACGTCTTCATCGGGTTTCATGTCTTCCTGAAATACGCGACAGGGTTAGTTTTTTCTTGAAAACAAGTTCGAAGCGAAACTTCTTGGGGAATGATAATAGACGAGAATTGAATGTACATTTTTAAAGACGTTTAAGAACAATTCACATGAGAAGGTATAATTGAGAGGGAAAGAGAAAGAGAGAGCTACGTTCTCAGACGCCACAGAAGTGAAGCTAAAGAAAACAATGTACTCAACGATGCAAACGGTATTGTAAACAGAATTTATGTATCGACATCACGTTGACAGTGTCAACTCTTGTACAATCATAGTTTAACAAACTACAAGCACCACCATAGTTCTGTTTCCGTCACTAACCAGAAACTTCGACCTCATGTCTCAAGGCGTCGATGACTTTGAGGTTGTACCGCTCCCCATCAAAAGCGCATACTTCTCTGAGGCAAAGTTCGCTAACTTATGAACAGGTGAGCTGTCCGTTATCTGAACAGAATTAAGCAGCACCTCTAAAAATCTTTCAAAGTACCAGGTTGACATAAACTTAAGGAGTTCTCTTTAAATTCGTTCTACCACTAAGTACTGCCAACCTTTACAAACTGATTTTGAATTAAAATTAGAATGTTCTAGAATTGTCCCGTCCGGGCGTGGCTGGAATAGTCCCCTTGGCTACCAGCGAATAAAGAGGAAAAAGAATTAATTCATAATTAGAACGAGACACTTTTTTTTCAGTACATACTGTAGATGAGTAGAGCTCATGGTACACCCGGTTTTGAGTGCTTACCTGCGCCTACAGATAAAATAAAGTGAATGTCTCCACCTAACCTTGAGACATGAGACAGACTTGATATTCTTGTAATATGGAAATCCTATTTAGATTAAGGTTTTACAAGTTTTTATTTAACGATTTTTTCGGTCAAATCTTAGAAACTAATTAGTGCCACTTCCTCATTCCTAAATTTGATGACAATACATTTTTATGGCAAGCATTAGCTGAACGAAATTGGCTCCATGTACCAGGAACCAAGAAAAAAACAATTGCAATGTTAATTAAATCATAAGCAGATCACTCGTACTATGACTTAAGCTTTATCCCGTTTTCGGATTTACTTACATTTTGGCTCAGTTTAAAGCGAGGAATTTTCAATTTTAATGTGAACCTCTTCTTTTTCTTCTCCTTCTTCCCGTCCTTGTTCGGACTAAACTTCTTATTTTTCTTGACGATCGGAGACGTGATACTCAACAGCCCAGATGGTAGGGTCGGCCCTTCGGCCACGCCCTCCGGAGTGTGCGTGATCCAGCCGAGGCGACTGGACAGCTTCAGGTGCAACCCAAAATCCATGAGAGCATTCTCGTGGGCCTTCAATGAGACATCTGCGTTGTTTTCCAAGAAATTTCGCATGTCCGTCTTCGTGTGGAAGCGGCGATTGTTAGGACTGGAATTGCCGGCTATGCATTAGGTATCTAATCTGTATATTAATACGTGAAGCAAAAACTTTGTACCCCTTTTAACGAAAATTGCGCGGACGGAGGAGTATGAAATTTTTCACACTTATAGAGAATATAGAGAAGGAGAGCACATAGTTAATATTTTCTTTAAATAGTGCATAAAAGATACATTAAATCAATAAAGAAAACATTACACAAACATGTATTTAACACACACACACGCATATATACTATTTTGTTTATTGTTAAAGTCTGTGGTCAAGTTGAGACAAGATTAATATTGATTTCTATAATATTATTTGTCTATAGTGTAGCCTTAGCGAAATCTGTGATTATAGAATTATTCTTTGACAATAGAACCATAATAAGTTTCAAACATATAATTTAAATTAATAATAATTATAGTCGAATTTCGACTACCGGGCGACCACTAGTCTAACTAAAAACATGACAATCTGGCAAACAAAATGGCGTTAAATGGTCGCCATGATCACCGCGTCAATATCTCCCCCTTCACGATATGAAATAATTTTTAATTACTAAGTTTTATTATCATAATGACGAGGCATTCTATGGGTCTTTTCGAAGATATGTCTATTTCATAGAAGAAACAGATGTATTTGTACATCCGTATTTATTTGTAAGCTGTTGTATTTTTGCATGGTCTAATTAAAAATGCATGGCGGTCTGTTCGAATAAAAAAAAAATTGTATTGTTTATGATTTTTATTATTACCTGACCAAAACAACATCCCACTTGCCGGCTGAATGTCCTAGGCTCCGGCGCACCATGTGCTTCGTCCAACCGGGCGGCAGTCTTTTGTCTTCAACCTACAAATCAAAAAGGTTATGATGAATTACACAGCCAAGTTTCCGGCTATTTAGCAAAATTAGAGGCATTCAGTCGGATATACATTATACCAACTGTTTGGATTGTAATTGGTTCTGATGTGCGGATATATGATGTATGTGAGTAATTGAATTCTTTGAATCCAAAGTCCAGCGGTCGTGACTCAAAAACAAAACCCTTATACACGATTACGTAAAACGATTTGTAAGATTTGTTTTTTATTTATTTACTGCAGTATAATGAATGAGAAGTTGAGAAGTGCGCGTTTGGAATGTTAGAGTGATGAGATGAAATGACAATGAGGTTAGTAAGAGAGTGTTAACTATGAATGTGGAAGGACATAGAGGAAGAGGTAGACCTAAGAAGAAATGAATGGATTGCGTGAAAGACGATAGTGTAAGAGGGGAGTGAGCGAAAAAATGGTATATGATAGAGGAGTGTGGAAGGAGAAAATAAGTCTGGAAGGAGAAAATAAGTTGCGCCGACCCCAGGTAACTGGGAAAGGGGCAGGAGAATGATGATGAATGAATACCTGCACACTTCTCCGAGGCAAACCCGGTTTGCCGTCCCCGTCGAGTTTGGCCTCGCACGGTATCTCGCTGACGGTGCCCAGGGGCTGCCCATCCACCCACTTGCAGCACCACTCGCCGGGAAGCATGAAGCTCTCCGGCATCTGCGCGCCACTAGCAAGCTGCTGCGTCTTCAGCAACATCTCCTTCCTCATCTGTTTCATCTGCTTCTTCATCACTTCTAACTCGCTCTTCACTTTCTCCACTTGTTTCTTTACCTTTTTCTCTTGCAACAACCTCAGTTTCTTTCCTTTCTTAATCTTCGATAGCTTCTTTGGTTTATCCTTTACGTTTGCCATACTTGTTGTTGAATCACTCTCCACTGGCAATTTTTCGGTGTTCTCAACAACATCTACTACCTCTTCTACTCTTAATTCTTCTGCTGCTAACATTTGTTCTCCAGACTGTTCACTGTTATTTGTAGTTGGAGGTTCAAGTGCTGTTTCTGGTTTGGGAGTCGTTGGCTTTGGAGTGGGTGGTTTGGCAGCAGACGATTTCGGTGTCGACGGTTTCAAAACAAAAGGTTTAGGTGTCAGCGGTTTGTCAACATTATTTAAGCCATCCTCGAGTTTGTTAATCACTTCTTTGATTCTATCAATTACTTCTTCGTGTTTGGAATCGTCAATCTTTTCGAATTTCTCTAGTTTAACTTCCTCCTTTAATACCTAGGAATTCAAATCGAATCAAGAAACTGGTTTACTATTAGAAAAAGTTAAAAACAAAATTTACACAACTACTTACTGGGTCGAAATCTAGTTTATATTCATCGCTATCGAAACTGTAGATCTGTTTACGGCTATCTACTGGCTTACTAACATTATCACAATCGTTACTCTCTACTTTCGCTGCATCCACATTAGATCGAGTTTCGTTTTCTGTTACACCTTCAGACGTAGCTTCAGGGTCTTGTGATTCTTCTTTCTTCAGAGTACCAATTATCGATGCGACCGCGTCTAAAAAAGATTTTGAACGTTTCTTATTTTGATATAATGAGATCATTTATAAATTCCCACTGAAAAGTTAATTTTTTTTTCAAATGAAAAAAATCTCTACAGTACTCCTGCGGACACAATTACAGCAACCATCCGTAACGTGTAAGCATTAAATTTATAAAACTTCAAATATTTTTAAATCACGTATCCGACACGCGAATACTTGGAACAGAGACAATTTAATTTAATTTAATTTGTTCAATTTTACTGTTGAAAAAATATTGATATATTATATATTTCTGTTCCTTAATAAAGGAATTTTTCCAATTGTGCACATGATATTATATTATCGCTCTACTACCACATAAATTACAAAATTTCAATTAAATTTTTGTTGTTGGACATATTAAGTTCTTTAAAGCATCTACACTAAAAAACCTTACCAGGGATCTCGTTTTGATTTACTGCCTTCGTCGTCTCCACCTTAACCGGCCCCGGCTTCATATTCCGTCTCTTTTTAAGGATTCTAGGTTTTCTCACTGTCGGCACTTTTTCTTTGTCCTTGTCTTTCGGTATCTTTTGTCGCTTCTGGCCGATGTTAAATATCTCCTTAATGTTGAGTTTCCTTTTCATTTCGCGACGTTCGCTTTTCGAACTCAAATAGTCGCGTTTCGGATCAAACAAATGGTTGTTGAAGAAAACCGGTGTGGAGGGCGCGTTCGAATTGATCGGCCCGCCGGTTTGGATGGGCGAAGACGCAGACGTTGTAGGCGAAGGCATATTCGTGTCCACCGTGAGAGTATCGTGTTTGCCCGGTTTCCATTTGTATAACCTTGTCGTTGTACATTTCCATAGGAAACCATCGTCGAATATAATCTCGTAAGCGCCTACAAAGATTTCGCATGTCTTAGGGATTGTTGTTTTACATCGTTATAGATATTAAAATTAAATGCTGCGTAACTGAATAAGGTTGCTTGTCTCCTAAGCAGTGAAAGAATCACTGAATTGGAACTGACGGAATTTCTTATTAAAACTGATTGAAGCATTCAACTTCTTCGCTTACTTTCAAACCTAACCAAATACGTGATAACATTTAGCAAAAAAAAAATGAATAATAAACTTTATTTCAAAGTTAACAGAATCATGAATGATTTAAGTTAACTATCTAAAATTACAATTGAAATACGGAAATGAACATTAATTTGCAAATTGTGCTAAAGTTTTACTTATGTTAAATAAAGCAAATCTTGAAATCTCTTGGATATTCTAAAAGCGTAATAGAGTGCCATATTTTATACTGGAGAAAAACGTGTTAATCCCTCAGTAAATCTTCAGAGATAAGCAAAAGGTTAGCTGTGCCTCTGACGCGGCCTATATGGATGAGTGTAATGGCAGTAATATAGTCTTCTTTGGATGGCCATTAAAATTAGACTTCATTTGCAAAGAAGAGCAAGAGAACTGATAGATAACTCAGTGTTATCTCGGTGAACTACCTTTAATTTTATATAAGCATAGTTCCTAAACCTACCGTTTCCTAAATCTTTTTGTATGGTAGCCATAAACCTCCTGTTGTCTCTCCAACGAGCCAAGCACCTCTCTCCCACAGCGTACACCACTTTAGACTTTTCTTCAAGTTTCACCTCATGCGGTTCCTCCTTCAAAACCTTTGTATTCTCCTCTGTACCGGAAGCTGATTTTGTCACCATTCCGAACGGTCTCAATCTGGGACTGTTCACGCTGATCCATTCGTCAGGCTTAAGAACACTGGTTAAATGAAAAAATATATAATAATAATAGTTGGATAAGTAAATGTTTATGTGTGAGCTGAACAGTGCGATTGAGGGAAAGAGATTCCACGACAGTCGATGGTCCACCACTGATATCACTGATACGAAGGTGCAGGACCCTAGGTCCTAATATCTAGATATTAAACGACAGGTGCCGGAGCAAAATCTAGAAAAGTAGGAATCGCCTTTCAGCTTCTATTGCCGCAATACTCACTACAATCCTAGCCACACCATTAACTAATTACTGCCTAAGCCACCGAACCTAAGTCAATTTAGTAATTATTGAAAAACACCCAAATTCAAATCACTTCTTGTTGTTAGCTCTTCGTCTGTGAATATTAAAGCAAAAATAACGTTTCCATGGTTACCTCGCGTCTCTTCGAGTCGACCACCGCGTTTTGTACGGATGATACATTTTATTTTTATGTTCGAAGGACGTTTCGCTTTTAATAATCTAAGCAAGTTTGAACTTCATTAAAAATATATTTTACAAATGAAAATTGAAAATGTATGTAATCTTTACTCATTTTCAGAAACCCATTTCTTTTGACATATTCAATGACGGTTTGCTTTAAAGTGACATTTGCATTTAAATTATGAATTTTTTCATTAGTAAAATTAAAACCTTTTTGGGCCTAGCAGTAGCAAATTTCACGGTGCAATGTTCGTATCGCAAAAAAAGACACACAACTATAGCTTTTTATCTGTTTCTCACATTCAATTTTTTTAAATACCATTTTAGATATACGACCAGATGGTAAGTGGTCACCGTCACTCGTGGACGTCAGCAATTCCAGGGACACAGCTAAACTGCTGTCTGCTAATTAGAAAGCTGTTAAGATTTCTTATTTCTATCACCTGTACTAAGTTACATATGCACTATTTTCTTCAAATACAGACTATTTATTTTAATCATCGCACCAAATATGATATTTAAATAAAAAGAACACAATCGTTATGTACCCTTTTAGATCCTGGTCATAATGTACAAGAACTTCCATCTCTTCAAAATCAACCTCCGTGATTAGTGCCGGATGCCAGTTGTAGGCAAAATCCCTTGCTTCCACCTTAGACCCTACTGACAACGCTACACTGCTGTTACCTGAATTAAAATTAAATTCCATTATTATTTAATGCAATTTTATCTATATATGTCACAGTAATCTTATTTTTTACGAGTTGAAGATGAACATATTCACACTAGTATTGTGTTCGCTTATCGCTCGATCACATTTTCCCTGTTATATAAATCAAAACTGAGAACTTCCTTCTAATTATGGCAAAAAGGCGTTAAAACTACAACCTACCAGGTCAGGTCAACCCTAACCACTTTAAAACAGGTTACAAACTACATACCTTTATCAAGGGGACTTTGATTCGATTTACTGATTTCACTTTTATTGTTTTTATTTATCAATTTATCATCTGTTTCGTTAATCAACATATCCATCAGGCTTGAGGTACTGGCCACCACATCGCTCTCTATTACTGACAGACTAGGAGGCTCATGTTCTGTACTGTGTGTTTTCTTGTTATCTTTTTCTAAATCTTGCAGTTCTCTTTCTTGAGCTTCAATGTATTTACGAATGGCCTCCAGGCTCTCTACTGGTTCACTGGAGATTTTAGTATTGTTCATATTGGATTCTTTTTGTCCTTGCACTGTCTCAGATATAATTGTCGTGGTTAATTCTGAATCATTCATTTTTTTTACTTTGCTCTTTCCCCACGAAAATATAGACGGTACTGCATCTAAAATTTGTTTTCGTCTGTATCACAACTCTATTACACACACTATCACAGCAACCATTAATATTATATATGTATCAAAATAGGAAGATTATTAACTCACATATTTTATGTTATCATGAATCATCAGAACAAACACTCCCAGTCTAGAGGCAAATATATGTCAAAATATAAAGCACTCTAAGGGCTTTATATATTGAAATAGCTAAGCAACAAGTCCATCAAGCAATAAATTTGTAATTTAAATAATGTACTGAAAATGTTACGATTGTAACATTAGTCATTTATAACACTGCTTCAAAAATGTGATTTATGCATTAAAAAGATAAGTTTATCAACTTATTCTCTTTGAAATATATACTAAACTGAAAGGTCCTTTAACAATAACTTATCAGCTAAAAAAATTTTTTTTTTGCTGTTTGCAATAATTCAATTATATGTACTACTTCAAGATTTGATTACATTTTCTCTTTAGTTTTGTTATTAAAATATAAAAAAAACTGTTTCCAAAAAAATAGTACAATGAAACCATAATAACTACAACACAAAAAAAATGTTAAATCTAAAAATGTTTTTTGGACTTAACTGTTTTGTCTTTGCCAATTTTTCCATAGATATATGTAAATTATATCAAACTATGAAATTCTAACTATCTAATCATGCTTATTTTAATTTAAAAATACTAGAAGAACCATTCCGTACTAAAGCGTAACATTTTCATTTAGCATGTTATATAAGCTATGACTTCATACTCTTCTTTCTAATAATAAAGATGCATTTCAAGAGGCCTATAATAATAAATAGGTAACAAATTCAAAAACTAAATAATGTGGCAAAACGAACAAATAAAAAAATCTACCTACTTCTATGCTCCAAAGTAAGCTCTATATTAAATACTACACTAAGTATCTGTTACACATTACTCCATTTACAAGTCATTATTTACTTTGTACCTGATTTTAGAACATATTTAGATTCCTCATAAACTTGAAAGTCACTTTTACAAAAGTGTCTTGAGCAAACATAAGCAGGCGCTTCCGTTACTACACAGCGAGTGATAGACACCCAGGCATCATTCAGAGATGATTGTTTAGGAAATTTGTGATAAGTGACACCCTTGTCCTCTTTTCTTGTGGAACAGGATTTACAGTCGCGTATACAGCATTTTTTTACAGCCATCCTTATGTACAAACTGCGTTAAGAGTTGCCTATTTATACTAAACAACGAAATGTAGTATATGTAAGTGTAATGATTTTTTTCTTTATTAATTATCTATAATGATCAATGATTAATTAATAACTCAAATTAATATTTACACAAACACTTCAAAAATAAGAGTAAGGTTTTCAGGGTTTTTTTGTGAACTATTTTTCACCATAACCTCGAAATACCTTAACATATTTGGATGTATAGGATGCCATTGGAATCCTACATCATTCCTGATGATACTAGCTAAAAAAATGTTGGCATGACAGCCATGTTCTTATTTTTTTTATTTTATAATAATGGATAAAATGACAATATAATGTTTTTTTACCTTAGATCTTAACTGCAATAAATTTGGAAGTATAAACTGCATTTGAATTAACATTGTTATAGTTCCCACAGCAATGAACTAGTATTTTTAAATAAATTAGACAGAGGTGTATATATTTACATACCTAATGAAAGCAGCAGTTTTTAAAGGACCATTGTTGATTTTAATAAAAAAAAATATTTAGTTACTCGACAGAATTATTGCCTCACCCGATAATCACTCAATTTCCATTACAAACTGAATTCGTTCTTTTATACTGTAGTATGTGGTGTAAAATAAGGTTTTAAGAACAAAATGCATCGTTTATTCGTTAAACCATACAAACATATTTTTTTTATCACGCTTGTCATAAATTCCAAATATTTGTGTAAATGGCACTTGACACTTGTCATTAATTCATTTTTTTTTTTTTTTCTCCCGTTTCTTGGCCTGCACGGTTTGTGCGTCAGCCATATTCATTATTTACATCACCTATTCATCAGTACCGGTACAATGGAGTGATTGGGGACAAATTCCAACTTTATAAACAATTTTAAGGTACATAGTTGTTGATGTATATAATGCTATATCAGGATCAAAATGATTGAGTCTTGGGGGTATCTTTGTTATCCAATTTAAAACTATGCAAGTAGCATTCCAGGCTAAGCAAAAAAGCAAAAATAAGTGTTATCCCTATTTATCCAGAAATTATGGTTATTGGGGACGAAATTAGTGTTAAGAGAGAAATTTGCTAGGGCTGGCACTCCTTGGTTTTAATTTATTTATTTATGTAGTTGCACCAACAAAGTGATCATCAATAAAAAAACATTGAAAAACTCACAAAAGTACATGGCAGATGTCACCTCAATCATAGGTGCAATCGGCAGTGCATTGACAATAAAAATATAAAATATATAACTAAAACTTGATTACATTTAATTACTTATGATTAATTTATATTTACTTGGGAAATTATCCGCGACAGATTTTTCCTGTAAGTTGTGAGGCAATTAGAAAAAACATCTATTTCATCACTTAAAGTTAGTTCAGCGCAATCGGACAACTCCACTCCGAATGAACATTGACGGAGACTGCGCTACCGTGGACATTATTATAGTCCCAAACGATTCTGTATATGGGAGAGTAAGCACCTAAATTCAAACGAGTGGGCTTTCTTATAAGCGGTTTATATTCCCTCGTTCTTAGTAAGTACTTAGGGGCTGATATTTTTATCTGGGTTAAGAGATTAGGTGTGTCCGTTATTCCATGGATTAATCAGGTGGATACCCCCACTCTGAACAAATATTAATATATTTAATATATATTACTTAGACATTTTTGTCCACCTTGAAATTTCATTGTTCTTGTTACATGTCTGTGCAAAACCGACTTACTTATGTTAAATTGCATAGCTATTTCAACTAAAGACTTATTCCTAATTTCATAGGCTTCTATTACTATTTTTAATATTAAGGGATCATATCTCTTATAAGCATTTGCACTCTTTGATACGTACACGCGAGGCATATCTAAAAATAGAAAACAACACGTAACTGTTAATATAAATATTTGCCAAACAATAAAATAACATTGCATTGATAATTTTGAATAAAAGTTCTAGACAAAAAGATCATGAATGAACCAGATTCTTACGAACAAATTTAAAAAATATTGTTATAACTACATAGAAAACCCTACAAACCTGCACCTATTTATACTTAGGCCGTTTCCATTTCACTTATTCTCATCCCAATTGACCCCTTTTTCATTGTTATTTGTACCTTAGACGTCCCCAATATCCCCAACACAACAGATTTTTACATGTATTTTCATTTTATTAAATACATTAAAACCAATAACCACTGAGGCTTACCTTTAATATATGTGGTGGTTCAAACACTAAATTACGTTTATAAATCACAGTCGTCTTCTATTATTATCAAATAAATAAAAGAGAGCAAAGTTTCTAGCACTAAAATAATTACCACCACAAGAAGTTAATTTGAAACGCAATTTTTTATAAGTTAGCAGCTATTATCATGCATATTCAGGGTTGTTTTGCGAACTTTCAACATTCTACTATTACAAAAAAATGGAAGATTTAACAGCGATTAAGAAACTAGTATTGCGCGTCGAAAGATTTTCCTGTTCTTTTCCCCATTCACCTCTCGATCCCTAATCACCCCATTTTACGTACCGAGTTTTTTTGTTTGAATTAAATGTTAAATAGGCAAATAGTACCTATTTTATATAGCCATTTGCAAATATTTTGTTACGAAGGCTGAAATCATGTCTATTATCTAAAAAAAATTAATGAAAGAGTTCACGACCCATCACATTCGATAGTAGAACACCAAGTAGATACGAAATAAAAAGCTGGAATAGGATTAAATAATTAAGACCACACCGTAAATGATGGATGCGTTAATTAATGCGACGATTAATGTCTCAAATTAATCATCTTCATTTCATTTCATTTCACTCCAAATTATCATTTTTCATAAAAATAAGAATATAAATTAAAATAAGACATGACTTAAAGGTCCTAGTTACGAGGTCATAAAATCCTTTAAAAAAAGTAATCTGTGTAATGTGTGATGTATACCAAGTAAAGGTAAGAAAATCGCGATCTATTAAATTCTCTTAATTATTCTTTATTTCACGCAATAAACCATTTTAAATATTTGTACTGTGTAACCACTTAAAAGTAAATATGTTGTAAGATTTCGATTAATTCAATTAAAATATTATTTTTCCAAAAGTAACAAGACGAATTTGAAGAAATGTCAGAATTGGGAGATTCCGAACTTTCGCTACAAAAACAAACTGAAAATGTCGATGAAAACAAAATCAATGCCAATAATTCAAATCATGAACCTCCTCCCAAAAAACATAGCAGCGTTGTAGCAGCACACTACAACCATCTGGAAGAAAAAGGTCTAAAAGAACGATACAATTCCCCAATATTTCACTTAAGGAATTTCAACAACTGGGTGAAAAGTGTTCTAATCCAAGAATTCACAGATAAAATACGCGAAAAAGACTACGGCCGTCCGCTCCGTATTTTAGACATCTGCTGTGGAAAAGGTGGAGATCTAAGTAAATGGCAAAAAGTTCGGCCGGAACATGCAATTTTCGCTGACATAGCTGAGGTTTCCGTTCAGCAATGCGAAACTCGTTACGAAGAACTTCGTAGGAGATGCGGTCGGCTCTTTTCAGCCGAATTCATTGCTACGGATTGTACAAAAGACACACTTAGAGATAAATACAAAGATCCATCAATCAGTTTTGATATAGTTAGCTGTCAATTTGGATTACATTATAGTTTTGAAAGCTTACCACAAGCAAGAAGAATGTTGACCAACATTTCTGAATGTCTAAAGCCTGGGGGCTATTTTTTTGGCACAATTCCGAATGCTAACGAGATTGTTTCAAGGGCACAGAAGACCCAAGATTACGCATTTGGTAACAGGATTTACAATATAAAACTACTGTTTGATCCCAAAGATGGCTATCCGCTTTTTGGAGCTAAATATGACTTTCACTTGGAAGGTGTGGTAGACTGTCCAGAGTTCTTAGTCAATTTTGAGCTGTTTAAGAAATTAGCTTCAGAATATGGCTTGGAATTAGTTTATAAAGCAGGCTTTGATCATTTTTATAAGGACCACTGGGAAAATCACAAACAGCTGTTTCAAAGGATAATGTGTTTTGAGACTTATCCAGCGCCAAATGGTAAAACCCTTATGGGTGAAGAGTCTGAATATGAGCACGCAAAAAAATACTGGGACAGTAAAGAGTATAAGGCTGACCAAAATTGTATCGGCACCATGAGTATATGTGAATGGGAGGTTGCTAGTGAGTATACTCATGAATAAAACTTTAAGTTAATTAAGTATAAGTCATCACAGCCTTAAATATGAGTCACCAGGTGTGTTTGTATTATGACATGTAATTGTTCCAGTGTTCAATTAAATCAGGCAAATAGATGCCAAATTTTTTAATGAAATAAATGCTTAACTCGTGGTCACAAATGACTTTGGTGCTAAAGGACACTTAGCCCACTAAAACGGTAGGAAGCATTGCTATGATAATTATTTGCAACTTAATATAGAAACCTTTTTAATTAAACAATTTACAGCAATTTTGATAAATCATTGTGAATGCTTTTGTACGCAAAAAACTCATAATTAAAAAAATTAATTTCTTTCTTTTTTAGCAATATACATGGCCTTTGCATTTAAGAAATTGAAATGCACTCAGTGGAGTTCTGATGGGAAGCCAACTTATACAGTTTCCAAAGAAACTAATCAGTCAACTAGTAAGCAATGACATTGAGATGTTAAGAGACTGAAATTATTGTTATAAGAATGTAAAGAATGATATAGAAGAAACTTTATAATTTTAAGATATTTACAAAAAATATGATATGTTAAATGAAATATATTTTGTTGTCTTTAAAAGTGCATAATGAAATTAGGGATCAATGCAGTATTAGCAGATCTTGAAAATTGTCAAGTATATATACATTTTTAACTTTTATTTAATTAAATACAAATGTAACTTTTCAAGAATTAAATGTGGTAGTATGTATAATAGTTTCAATATTGTTACTTGAATTATTATGGACCCTGTTGCCTGTTGCTTAAGAAAACAAGTTTTCTTAAGGTAGGTACGTATTTCATGAAGTATAACTAGCATCTGTATAGGAAAATGTTATAACTGATTATGTTCAGACATCTATGTTAGATATTCCTAATGAATAATTTAGTTTTTTTTATTGCTCAGATGGGTGGACGAGCTTACAGCCCACCTGGTGTTAATTGGTTACTGGAGCCCATAGACATCTTTTTTAAATTTTATTGCTCAGTTGGGTGGACGGACTTACAGCCCACCTGGTGTTAAGTGGTTACTAGAGCCCATAGACATCTACAACGTAAATGCGCCACCTACGTTGAGATATGAGTTCTAAGGTTTCAGTATAGTTACAGCGGCTGCCCCGCCCTACAAACCGAAACGCATCACAGCTTCAAGGCAGAAATAGGTGTCTACCACCAGTAATATTTTAGGTCCCACCACCAGGTTCCGTTAAAACACTTGGACGTACTATTTGCTTTTCCCTTTCTTGCATATATGGCCCGACAATCGCCCAGCGCCTCCTAAGATTTGCCGAAGTACCGGCATTAAACGCGTCTTTTATTTTTTGGCGCGGGGCAGAGTGGCACGTTTGTGGGACTGAAACTGATGTCTTTCGCGTTTTGTGTAATACTTTAGTGGTAGACAGCGGCTTGGCTCTGCCTTTGGCGTCCATGAGCGATCGTAGCCACTCACCATCAGGTAGGCGTTATGTTTGTGTGCCTATAAAGGCTATAAAAAAAAACTCGTGCTCGCAGTACGAGTTAATATATATGACGGTCGTCATTGAACTATACTGCCATTAGCAAGCGGCGGCTCGTGTATTACTGTCCAAATGTCGACATAGGGGAACCGTTAAGGTGTTACTGCAAAGAGCACCGAACCCAAGCGCCACGAGTGTAGCGCTTTCAAAGATGCTTCCAAGGACACTGCCCCTTACCGTTTTGTTTGTATTTCCAAACGCAACAACTAGTGATGGGCAGTTCGGTTTATGACGATATGGGGCTTGAATGCATCAAAAAACATCTGAAATCAGCTTCGGAACGATACTTCGTTATGGCGATGTGTCAAGACATCATTATGACTGCCGTTGACTACTCCCCGGCTTTTGATCACCGTCACCGGAGCCAATTGCCGTCGACACCTTAGACACGAGCTAACGGATCCACCCGATCCACTAACACACTTATTAGATGCAAAACCTAAACCATAAATAAGTTCTCTGCGTTACTCGCCGGGTCTTCGAAGTCCTCATCGCGGCCTAAGGAATAAGACACCCCGTGCATTTCTATCGAGGGATACGACTGTGTCAGTGTTCGAATCGATGTTATCAAAGATGCTTTTTAATAGGTATTGATCTAAGTGATCTAACTGCCGTCAATGGTGGAAAGTTTTCCTCAGTACAGACACAGTTTTGCAATGCAGTTCCGAATCGAATGTACTTGCGAACGAATGTTTTCAGGTTTCTATTTTTAAATTAATTTTTTTAACGTATTCGCACTCGGATGAACAATCACGTCCGTACATAGAATAAGTATGTACCATTCTAATTAACATAAAAAACGATGTTTGCATCTGCTTTCAGCGCTTGAGTGCGCAATTTAAGCGCGATCGGGGGCCGCGATCCACACTACCCTCCGCCTCGTCAGCGCCAGAACATGTTACACACACACACACACTATGCCCATAGAGCCCATAGACATCTACAACGTAAATGCGCCACACACCTTGAGATATAGTTCTAAGGTCTCAGTATAGTCACAATGGCTGCGCCACCCTTCAAACCGAAACGCATTACTGCTTCACGGCAGAAATAGTCGGGGCGGTGGTACCTACCCGTGCGGACTCACAAGAGGTCCTACCACCAGTATAAAGTATAACACTATTATTTTACTATTGTTTTACTGATGGGATTTGTTATAAAATAGAGTTTAATCTATGCAACTTATGATATTCTCTTTGCTAAATTTCACAAAACAAAATTTTATTCTATAACGTCATATTTTAACACTAACTTTGTATTTCTGTTTTTGACACAGAAAATAATGGAATTTTTCGGAATCACTTCACATGGGCCTCAAAATTATATAAAAGAGTGCTTACGGGAAATATATAAGGAGCCAATGACAAAAAAAGATTGTGTAAATTTAATGAAAATAATTGAACAACAATCCTTACTTCCCAAAACGGTATGTAATTGAATACTAAAATCTTAATAATCAATCTAAAATAATTAGCGACTAAAGAGCAATTTCTTGGCTTCCAAAATAAAAACAGTCTTCAAACAGGGTTGAAGAAAATTATTAGCCTTGCTCTGAAATCGGAAAATTGTGAACATTTGGAATTGGTCTGGTCAGCAAATCTATGCTGCTTCTATTAGCCCCATATACACTAACAGATGTTTGTCAATTATTATATTTAAGTGTGCAAATTTTATTTACTATATATTTGTTTATATTTTATTTACTACTTATTTACTATACTATATTATACTTAGGTGTGAAATAATTTGTTTTATTACCGTACTGTTTCAACTTTAAATTCAACTGTGGTATTGTGGCGCCATCTTAGTTTATGATTTTTTAACGGATACTTTAGATCCACGGTTTGTGCTCCACACTCCATACTCTCATTTTCTCAAAGCAAATTTCTTTGTACTCTTAAGTTTTAAATAGGATTAAGTCCGGCTTTTTATGACTAATAACATTATTACAATATGGTTATCCTATCTTTTTTGGTCGTATTTTCCAATAGCTATATCATCAACACTTGTAGTGTTAGGATTGTGACAGACTGGAAAAGGGGCTCTTTTAGCGTTAAAAAGTGGAATGACGGTATAAACTCAACAGTCCGAGCTAACAGCATTATACCATCAATAAAATTAATACGAGATAGCCCGATTGCATCCGTATTTTCTGATGAATGAATGTTTGACTAACATTAATGATTCTTAACGTGTATAGATCCAGAGACCTGATGTTAATACTATTAGATTCATTGACTGCTACATTGGGAGAGTGAATGGATTTGCATTAGGATCGATTGAGATATTTAAAAAAATGAAAAGGAAAGGTGTGATTAAACCAGTTGGCCCTTCTGATATGTACAGAATACCCATAACTACTTCTATAGAGGTAATCATTTCTTATTTACAAATAGTAATAATTTAGATACGTATCTTTCGTCTTGACAAAAATTTACTTCAAATTACGTAAATATAGTTTAATATACGATAAGACACCTTCATAAATAAAATCCCTTGAAATCGAGAGGAAATGAACATTACACTCTTTTTAATTTCATATTAAGCGTTGATTTAGAAAATTTCCACTGGAAACAAAAATAGATCAACATTTTTTCTTTATCAAGAAGGTAAATTTTTATATTTTAAAATTGCTTAATACACTTCCAGTATGGGTGGTGGATGCAAGATGCAGAAGTGACGAATGCTTCGTGGTATAAATTAGAAAAAAGATACCCACAACCAGCTTCACCGAACACATTAATACTAGATAAAGTTCGAAAAAATAATAAATATGCTTCGCTATTTTAAAATTGAAATTGTCATCGTTTTCATTTCAAATTTATATTCGCACAAAAATGTTGAAAACCAAATGGACCCACTAAAACCGCCAAAAGCCAAGTGGTAGGGATAAGTAGGGTTCGAGACAAAATAATGAAATACATACCATTTATTTTGCTGAGCTGATACTGATGAAATATATACCCTAATAAGTATCATAATAAATGGTATCCTCCTCCTTGCGTCGATAATCCTCAGTGCTGAGGGTCGTGGCCTCCTCTAATAACTTTCTCCTGCATTATCTTGCGCCATTCGCCAATAAATGGTATATCATCCATTAAAAATAACGCCTTAAGTCTTTTCACTGCAATACCATTTATTGAAGTGAAACTTCTTTAGGCGCTAGCTATAGGTACTTATTAACTCCATGGCGCTAGCATAGGCTTAGCTTAGCAGGCGTTAGGCTGCCTACAAATACATATATCGTATCACATACTTAGTCTTGCCGTATGATAGATCCTCGCTTGAGCTCTGCATTACACAAAATACGATCGGGAGCTTCGGGATCCCCGCAATGGTTTTGAAGACGTGCGCTCCTGAATTGACTCTTGCACTAACGCGTTTGTACTGCCGATACAAATAAAATAATAACGCTTCTTTTCAATATTTTTGTGAAATCGCATCATTGGTTTCAATTCGGATCGTTCTGACCGAATCATTGTTACCACATAACTGATCCGAGTGAAGTAAGCGTCCCGGCGCGGCGTCATTGAATAAGATTTTTCAATCGCCTCGTCTATCACTGTTTCCAACTAACTCATTTCAATTGCTTAAGAAAATTGTCGAGGTCATTTATATGCATATTTTACAATTAACTATAGCAGTGCGAGTATTTCTTTTTATAATACTTAGATGAATGGACGAGCTGACAGCCCACCTGGTGTTAAGTGATTACTGGAGCCCATAGACATCTACAACGTAAATGCGCCACCCAGCTTGAGATATAAGTTCTAAGGTCTCAGTATAGTTACAACGGCTGCCCCGCCCTTCAAACCGAAACGCATTACTGCTTCACGGCAGAAATAGGCAGGGTGGTGGTACCTATCCGCGCGGACTCACAGAGGTCCTATCACCAGTGAATGTATAGTCGATACATTCTAAAAGTGCGCCACGATACTGTGTTTAGGTTTGTTTTGGAGGACTTAGTAAATTAAAATTTTATCATATTATGTAGTATATACTCCTAGTTTCATTTTGTTTTACTCTATATCAAATTGTACAACTTATTATCATCCGGAATTTTTGGCGGGAACGTGAGGAGTGAAGTTGTGTGATTTGTTTTATTTGGTCTATTTAGTGTTTCTTCAAGTTTTTTAAATGGGTAATAATGTAGGTAACTGTTTAGTGTCTATAAAAGTGCACATATGTGGGAAAATGAAACAAAGCCGCTGAACGTAACTTCTGGGGACCTCCAAAAAGTCCACTGATAAAGTCTCAGTAAATGACCACCATTTTACTGAGATTATATTTCATCTCACATCATCTCATTTCGTTTTCATTTCATAATATAATTTCTCATTTAAAGTTTTCATTAAAAATACTTGACCTAAAGGTCTTAGTTACCAGGTCGTAAAATCCCTTAAAAAAAGTAATGTCATCCTTTAATCTATGGACTGACTGAATTGGACTGTTTCTTTTACAACTGCCAAGCGTTGTGATAGGTGGTTCTCTGACAAACAAAATGTCGTAAGTAAATCTTTACTAATCTTTTAAATCATACAGAATTAGTTTATAATTTAAATGAATTCGCGATATTTTCTACCGTCTATTCCTGTAGATCTCGGTATTGCGTCATTTTAATTAAAAAAAATCAGGTTACTTTTTATCACCACGACCGTGCTAGAGCATAACTTTCACAAATCGTTTCGATTTTCAGGTCTAAAGTGTCTCGTGACACGCTCTACGAGTGCGTGAATGCCGTTCTTCAATCCTCTAAGGACAAGAAACGTAACTTTTTGGAGACTGTAGAGCTTCAAATTGGTCTGAAGAACTATGACCCACAGAAGGACAAGCGTTTCTCCGGCACTGTAAAGTACGTTTACCTGAAAGGAGCATTTTAGTGGAATGCTATTTATTTTTTAATAAAATTCCACCAGAATGAATCTGTACAGGGAGTCGGTGCAAACTGACGGGACTTGACCCAGAGTCTTTAAATAATGGGCAGGTGGCTTAAGCCAACCGATTATTTTGGATTAAATGTGAAGCTACACGGTGAGGTATGCTTCATTCATCTTTTAAACTTACACTAAACCACAAATGATGATTTAAAAGAATGCATGTATTATCTGTTGATATTGACGAAACTAAATACTGACTGCATTTTAAATATTTTGAAGCACAAAATGTTTCACTTCAATATTTATGATTTAATACTTTTTAGGCTAAAATACATACCGCGGCCGAAAATGCAAGTTTGCGTTCTTGGAGACCAGCAGCATTGTGACGAGGCTAAAACCTTGAATGTGCCATGTATGGATGCTGAGGCTTTGAAAAAATTGAATAAGAACAAAAAGCTTGTCAAGAAACTGGCCAAAAAGTGAGTATTACTATTGTTACTTGAATTGCAAATTTGGGCTTTATAAGTAGTCTGGTTTCTTTGTATATATCATAAAAAAATTATTGTTAAGCAGTTAATTGTAACAATCTTCATATATATGTGAATGCCATTTTCCTTTTTATCTGCTCTGTTTTATCAAAAACGAAAATTGCTAAACATAGAAAACTTTGATATTTCAAACTAGCTGACCCGGCAGACTTCGTAGTGCCTCAATGGATAAATAAAAGACCTAAGCTTTTGTATAAAGTAAACTTAAAACAAACAAAAGGAATCTGTGTTATTTTTATTTAATTCTGAGCATTTTCATATTTATTTACCTTTTAAACCTTCTCTGGACTTCCACAAATAATTCAAGACCAAAATTAGCCAAATCTGTTGCAGCCTTTTTTGAGTTTTAGTGAGGCTAACGAACAGCAATTCATTTTTATATATATAGATTGTTTCATGCTCAACTTCAATTCAACCTAATAAACTATTATTCTGTTAAAAATATTTAAGTAATCTCATTATGTTAAATTTGCCACAGGATAAGTAAGGAATATGTTTAGTTTAATTTATTCTTTTTTATTTAGATTTGATGCTTTCCTGGCATCAGAGTCACTGATCAAGCAGATTCCCCGTTTGTTGGGTCCCGGTTTGAACAAAGCTGGTAAATTCCCTGGTCTTCTCTCCCACCAGGAGTCCATGACGCAGAAGATTGATGAAGTCAAGGGAACCATTAAGTTCCAAATGAAGAAGGTAATTTAATTTAAAAAACAAAATTATAAACACATCCGGTTATCTGTGAAGGGCCCTAATTTTTCATTGGTACTCATACCTGTTCTGAAGAAAATATTGAAAAAAAAATCATACTAATTGGTTTTTTATTTCAGGTGTTGTGTCTTTCTGTAGCAGTTGGCCATGTGGACATGACTCCTGATGAGCTTGCCCAGAATGTGCATCTTTCCATCAACTTCCTTGTGTCACTGCTCAAGAAACACTGGCAGAATGTCCGATCATTGCATATGAAATCAACGATGGGACCACCCCAGAGATTGTACTAATTTAACACAATAAATTTTATGACCAATATTTTTCTTTTAATTCAAAATTAGGGATATCAGCATGCATTGACTAAGCAAATTATTTTCTAAACACTTTTCTACTTTTTTATCTAAACAAAGACCTGATTTTTTCTTAAGCCAAGAATTTCATTTAGCATTAAATTCATTTACTAATTTTTCATTTGGAAATTTATTAACAGAAATTAAATATTGTAAGTATATAATTTACTGAGAATACTATTTTTTGAGCATGAGAAATCACATTCAGTGACCGAATCTTGTTCCACCTGTGAGCTTTCCTACATCTAATGATTAGGTAGTAACCTTTTTTAACCATATGTTATCTAGAGTATACCGCCATTATGCGTTCAAACCCAAGAAATGATAAATATCTACCATCATTGGCTAGTAAGTGTGGTTGTATGCCAACCCTTTGGGATGAAGTTCTTTCTCTTTTAAGAAATATTGATATTTCAAAAAAATGTTAAGTACCTACCTATCTTTTAATTATTCCCAATTGTCCAATGGAACTTAAATTTCATGACAAAGTAAAAAGGTTTTGTCATTTACGCCATCAACGTGTATATAATCAAAGGCCATGACACCTGGAGGGCCCTTTTTTTCTTTCCTACCTAAGCTGATAGCCTAGAGGCTATGTCAGCATAGCGTGCTTGAGGTACCTAAAAGCACAGTTATTGAATCGGGACGATCCGAAATGACGTGCTTACAGCGACGTCAACTGTTTACCATTCGGTCCGCAGGATCGGGAATGTAGTTACCTTCGACCACGTTGAGAAGGTTCTCGTGTCGAGAATAGCTATCACAACGAAAATGCTGCCAGGCTAGAAAGGATCTCAATGGCTCAATTGTGTTTAGCTTTAATGTCTATCCCATCATTTAACGCATGATTTCTTCTTCACTTAACGAGTGCTTGTGGCAAGCCTCACTTCGCGAACTATGGAGAACAGCTGTCAAGGCTTTAATAATAAAGGATTCCACATGATCACGATCGCTCTGCCGAGAGTAACCGACTATGATAATGGTTCGTATCACAAAATTTAAGCTCTGTTTATTGGTTGCAATAAAAACTAATATGAAAATAAGGGTACAGCCACCAAGAATCACTAGTGGTAGCTTGAGGACCGGGTTCGCTTTCTTCTTTCTTTTTGATTACAAGCTAGAGAAACTATTGTTTATATTAAATCCTCTGACCTTTTTAAGTATAGTTGACCAATCATTATCCACAATCAATTAATTGGGAGCCCCATATCATGTTATAATTATTTCGATACCTATTGTCTGTAAACACCACCATATTGACTATAAAGATTTCCTTGGAGATAATAAATACTAAATTAATTTATGAAATAGTGCAGTAGCACTGAACTATGTACAATAACTAAGCGATTAATGAAGTTAATCATTTCAATGGCATTCACTTTAAATTAATGCCTAGAAACGTGGTACAGCTGGCAACACTTGTTTGTAATGTCATTATTGTCATTATTTTACTTTGCTTAATCTATGTTGCTAAATACAAGCACTGAAATAGATTTAAATTGAAAAGTCTAAGAAAATATTATAATGAACTTAAATATCTCAATTTTAGGAAAATTCATTCTAAAATCACAATCAATAGCCGGAGTCGGGGTAAGGTTTCACGTTTACTGTTAGTAATAGGTTAAAGGCTTACTAAAATCTAACATATTTTTAGACTAAACAAACGAGGACTGTAATGTTACTTAACACTAATTTAATTCGTTCGATCGATGCTAACCCCCAAGTCTCAGTTTTATGAGTTAGTACCAGTTCTGCGGATTATCACAGTTGTCCTCGGGTTTCATAGTAATAGATCTTAAAAACTAATTTTTATAAGACCTGATTTTTTTAAGAATAAAATAGGATCTTCTAAGGGACTTCAGTTACACAGGAGCAAACTTCTTGGTAGAACTAAATTCTATTCGAAATGGTACTAATTGCTATCAGAGTAGTCTAAAGGTGAATTCTGAACTACCGGCTAGTTGTCTGCCAACCTCATAATCTTCAATTTAAGATCCGAAGTCAATTAATAGATGTTATAACCTCAAATCGCTCCTTCTAATCTGCCATTCCTTGAACTCTGTAATGTAATATGATTACTTACTTCCAGTATCAACAAGTACGGAATAAATGGGCTAACTGGCTCATGATTCGTGATGTAAAGCGACGTAGATTGAGTGCAGAGAACTTTCTTGAAAGGACCAGAGTTAATGCATTGCGGAAAAATGACATCCTCCCTGTTGAAATCAGAGAGATAGCTGACAAGCAAATCAATCAGTTTGAATGGAATGCCACACCTATGAGAATTAACAACAGATGTGTTATCACTTCACGGTATGATTCACTTTTGTCTAGATGCTTGCATTTTTACTCAATGTATATTTTGTTATAGCAAAATGCAAAGAGGATTTAGAAATCAACATAATTTGAAATATAAATTAACTATGCTATATATCTATTAAGTATTTATTGGTATTGAGAGGAAAAAAATTATTAATTGTTGTACCAGAGGCGGGTCTGACTGAACTCTTTCTGAAACTAAACTGTAACTGCTTCAATACTGAAATACCTACAAGATATACTTAAAATTTTCCTTTACATGGGACTTAACTGATTAGTTAAGTTAGTGCACAGGTAGGTACCACCACCCTGCCTATTTCTGCCGTGAAGCAGTAATGCGTTTCCGTTTGAAGGGTGGGGCAGCCATTGTAACTATACTGAGACCTTAAAACTTATATCTCAAGCTGGGTGTTGCATTCACGTTGTAGATGTCTATGGGCTCCAGAGCAATAAAAAGTTTAATATGGAATTGATTTCAGACCCAGAGGTATAGTGAAGGAATGGCGCATGAGTCGTATAGTCTGGAGGCATCTAGCGGATTACAACAAACTCTCAGGAGTACAGAGGGCTATGTGGGGCTGAAAATCTAATTTATTCTATGATAGTAGTAAAATTATTAAATTAAATATTGAATGAAATTTCTCTATTTCTTACAAATATCTCTACAGTTCAATCTTCTTTGGCTATGCTACAAGGTAGATAAATGTTACCAAAATTTCTTAGTAATTTAGTTTGAAACCTTTAGTCTTGTAACACTGTTAATATTGTTGACCTATATATTGGCCAATCTGGTTATGCTAATTTCACTAGATTTGTAGGCAAGCTCATAGGCAACACTAGTCCTCCTACACTGCTATTCATGTAAAAGTATGCCATTATGAAAAAGGGAAAAAGACAATGGTTTTATTTAACTTATTTTAATAAAGTCAGTTTCTTATAACATAAAAGCTTTACAATAGACAAAATGGAATATTTTTATTTCTTCATAAAGCTTCTTAGTCAAAGAGACCTGAAACAGAAAATAACATTAAATTGTTGAACATGTTAACTAGAAATATTAAGATCTAAACATTCTCCACATACTCAGTAAAAAATTTTCAATCAAAAGATTCAGTAGCTAATACATGATCAAACATCATTGAAGTTTACATATTATGATAAAATTTGTCTTTGTTATTAGAATAATCTTTCAACAAATCGTTCTAATTATGTACTCCTTTTATTTGTTTACCAGAAACTGTTATTCATTTTATACTTTTGTTTTAATAAATTAAAGTAGATGATTTTTACTCAGGAAAAAAGCTTTAAAAATAAAATTATAAATTACTAGTTAAATCTAAACAAAAATAAACTTTGAATATCGCATGATATGTATGGATTGCTTACCGAAGCCCATGTCATCGTCGGACTCCTCGGGTTCCTCCTCTTTCTTTTCTTCCTTCTTCTCCTCGGCCGGAGCGCCGGCTGCAGCAGCAGCGGCTGGCGCTCCACCAGCGGCCGGAGCAGCGCCCACTCCAGAGCCGATGTTGGTGATCAGGTCACGGACATTGATGCCTTCCAAGGCCTTGGCGAACAGACCTGGCCAATATGGCTCTACATCTACAGCCGCCGCTTTCAAGATGGTGGAAATTTTCTCACCCTATTTCAATAAAACTGTCATTAGATTCCAAAAACATAAAAATACTTACTTTAGAAAGAAAACTAAAGTAAGTATACGAAAGATATGGCGCCAAATGAATAGTTAAGATTAATGGAAAATATACAGAATTTTTAACAAAATAGACGTTTACTATGCTAAACAAATGCGTTGTTGTTCTGATTTTGTAGCTATTTTGTGTGATGTTCGTGGATTTAGTCACAAAAACATTCTTCAATAACCTTAAAATATTAAAATTACAAATATTAAGATTACTTACAGTTACGGCAACATCATCATCAACCAGGATGAGAGCAGAGTAAACACATGCTAATTCAGCTTTTGACACCATTTTTAGTTTTGAACGTGCAAGTTGCCGTAGGCCTTAGCTCAAGAGAGAACAAGCACGTTTGAGTTCTGACAACAAAGAGAAACAGGAAAGGAGGTTATGTTCGAATTAGCAGTTTTCTGAGCTGTCACTGTCACATTGTCAATGTCATAATTTTTTTTACATACATACCTAATTTTTAATGACCAGGATTCTTCTTTTTTTGGCTCCGACACGGTTGTGCATGTGTCAAGTAATAAGATTTTTATAATTCGCCGTTTAAATCATTTACACTTTATGAATAATAAAAAACGAAGGAAAAGACATGTCAGACATTTAAATAACCAAGTTATCGGCATATTGTAATAAACTAACTGAATCTCCGACATACAGCCTAATCGTTTTATCAATTTTTTTTTCATATAAAAAATGATAATTTGAATTGAAATAAAGTTGATTAATATAAAACATGGCACGAAATGAAATGAAATGAAATGATATGGGATGGAATCTAATTTCAGTAAAATGGTGGTCATTTACTGAGGCTTTTTCAGCGGACTTTTTGGAGGATCCCGAGAAGTTACGTTCAGCGGCTTTATTTCATTTTCCCACATTTGTGCACTTTCACAGATACTAAACAATTAATAAACCACCACTATGACACATTTAAACTTGAAGAAACACTAAATAGACAAAATAAATGCTCTTTATGACAAGAGTTTTTTTAGTATGTCACCAAGAATATTTAATAAACTACCTATAAACATTTTGAAGACAGTAGATTCACAAGATTTTAAGCAAAAATAGCAAATATTTTTAATAGATAATGCTTACTATAGTATGTCAGAATATTTAGACGATAACTTTAGATGATAAAGTAGAATAATTTAAGTTTTATTTTTTATTTTTATGTAGATTATACTTACACCTAATATTTGTACGCTTTACTAGCAGGACATAGTGATATATTTATTAATATTAGCTTATTAATCTTTGTTAAACTATGACCACAAATAATAATAAAAAAATAAAAAAATAAAAAAAAAAAAAATCACACAACTTCACTCCACGCGTTCCTGCCAAAAAGTCCAAGTTCTTTAATCATTAATTATTAAAACTATTTATAAAACTTATGTATGTAGCAGTTAATAAAACTATTGGAATAACACAAAAAAAACGAATAGCATGCAATCAATCTCTTCCAGTCGTACCGTGTACACTTTATTCGGATTCTATGAAAGTTTTGTGTTGGGACAAAATACAGAGGGTCAGCGAATTTATGTAGGTTAAAAATTCATAGGCTTATATATCGTGTATAGAGTTTTTAAATACTTTATCTGCGGTATTTTGTCTAGTTTAAAATGATATTTGAAACAGTTATCATTTTACTAAAGTTAAAATAAATTTTATTCGCTGTTTAAGAACATTAACACACTTCTTAATATTTGATTTAGGCCCCTCGGTTTTTTATACGCATAAGATATACCTACCTAATAAAGTTTTAATGTATTTCAATCTAAATTGGACTGGTCTATAAGTTATATAGTTAGTTTAATATGATATGTTCTTTCGATATGGAATAGAATTTAGTCAAGATGAAAATAAATTATCTTTTATTGTCATTGTAAACTAACAGGCATGCGGCTCATCTGATGAATGGTTTCCGTGGCTCTAGGAAGTCAGCGATGCCAGGGGCACAGCCAAATCGCGTTCTGATCGCAACCACCGTTTTGGGCCATTGTTGGTAGATGAACCCATAATAAGGCCCAATTTTTTTTATGATTGAAAGATTACTGGTGGCCCGGAGGGCTTTCCACTTTCACTAGGACAGTTGGGCGAGCAAAGGCTCAGCCAAGAGGGGTGGGATTTGCTAACAGCTGCCCGAGCGCCCCCGAAGGAGACCTAGAAAATCAAGAGCAACTGCTTCGCGAATGTATCTATGACCGTGACCCGCTGAGAAGATCCGGCGAAAAATTCAGCGGGCTGATGCATGGGTTAGGTTGCACGTCGACTTCTTTGTTGAGTTCGACAAGCACGGCTACCGGGGTAACTAAGCCTGCTCCTAGTGTTTGAGCTGAATCTAATGCAAAGGTTATTGAATCCGATGGATCCGTAAGGACGTGTCTAGGGCGTCGACGGTGACTGGCCTGGCTCCTGCGTGTTCAGGATTCGGGGAGTAGTCAGCGGCGGCAACGATAAGGTGATTATCATGCATTGCATGCATTGATGCCTTATCGAAGTATAATTCCGACACTGACTTCATGTATTTCCGAATTGATTCGAGGCCCAGGTCGTCTTGTAGGTCAACGTTCCACACGAACCACGGACCTGCGACGGCTAACCTGCAAAAGCGGGACTATAGGGATTGGAGGGTTATGTAGCCCAACTAATGGACTTATCATGCGCCGTCGCTCATAGACATCAGGAATCATAAGCTGCTAATTCCACGGACGCCTAAAGCTGCGACGGATATGTGATCTTTCTTAAATATTGAGCCCGATTGCAGAAAATGATCGATCGTCACTGGTCTCTAAAAGATATATGAAATCAGTCTCAAGTGGAGTCGCCCTTTGTTTTATATTGTTGTCTATAGGTTTCGAGAACAGTCCCAACATACAATCTGTAAGGTTCTCAAATATTCTCCTTATGTGGCTGAAATACGGACATGCGGATAGCGTTGGTTTGATGAGGTTTAGTTTTTTTCGCTTTTTGGCTTCGGAACACAAAAAAACATTTTTAAGTTTACAAAATAGTTTTACTCTCTCTGTAAAATAACAAAAATAATGTTATGAGATCAGTATAGGTTTTCTTTGTTAATGTCACACTGTGCTACTTCGTTTTACCTGAAAATGATTTAATTTACTATGGAAGCTGAATACATAATAGTTATTTTTTAATGAATTTTAAATTGTATAATAAATTAGGCTCATCGAACTTATTATTAATTAGTATTTTACTTATTACTACTAGTGAAACCAGTCACACTCTACTTCAGTTACCAATGGGATTTTGATAAACGTATGTAGATTATTTAGTTCACTCAAACATACGTAGATACTGCGCCATCTATCGTAAATTGATGGTACTATGATATAAGGACCTTTCGGAAAATGTACAATTGTAGCATGTTAAAAAAAATAAGACTGGAAAAACTATGTGTGAATGTATACATTACGCAACATTCATTGTATTATAATAAATTCATGTAGTTCACAAGTCCCATGAGAATAAATGGTGTTTAACAAGCATATCTCTTACACCTTCCTTCAGTGGCTGATTTTGTGTATCTTTTTTCAATGGAAGCTCCCAATCGGGGTTCAAATTGAAACCAAACTGAGAAAGTATACGTAATTCACATTTGATCTGTACCCATCCAGGGGAATTTATAAATGACCATGGATGATACCATTTTTGAACGACATCAACACAAGAACACAATACTTCAAGCCACAGATGTAGTGCTTCTTCATTTAAGCCCATACATATTAATGTGCGCAATTTCACATCCATCTGAGCATGAGCATTGTCATGTGATAAATTTATTGCTTGGACACATCTGTATAATAACTCTTCAGGAGTCAACACCTTCCCATCCTCATCTAATCTATATGTTTTACAGAGAACCAAGCGGCTGTAAACTGAATTAAAATCTTTTTCAACTTCGCGAGAAGAGGCTTCTTCAATGAATAGCCACGGATGACATGGTCCATCTAGAAAGCTTGGCCTCTTTATACCGTGCAAGAGAACTCTTTTAAATGCTGGAGCTAATACACCTCTCACTAAGTGTGCAGCTTTTTCCGTGACAGAATCATCACCAGCCTTGCTATATTTTACACCCTTTTCATCGAGCAATTTGACAAATCTAGCAGGAAACCAGCCCCTCAACCCGTTTAGTTCTCCAATCCAACAGTGTTCATCTCTTGAACTTATAACTTCAATAACATCATTTTTTCTGAATCCTAATTCATCACCATCTCTTCTCTCAAAGTCTAATAGAGCTTTTGCCCTTCGCCTCTTGCTTCTGGAAACATTAACGTATCTTTCCCTATCAGCAGCATGACTCTGCATGGTGTAATCAGCTGTCATTTGAACTTCTGAAGTCAGTTGTGGTTCTAAAGCTAGGAAGTGCCTTGCAACCTGTAGTATTGCTTCTCTCAAGTCCACTAGTATTTCAGTTTGCTTCACATTCTTAGAAATAGCATCTTCATTACTACCATCTTCCCCAAACAAAATAGTTTGTATTACAGACTTGCTCTTTTTTATTTGACGCCTCTGCAATTGCTGCTTAGGCAAGTTTGGTACAACATTTGGATTTCCAACAAGAGCACCTTGATCTGCCATTAAGTATGCCAAGTGTCTTCTTCTGTGTGTTTCTATTAATGCAGGACTTAGAGTATCACCACATACCTCATCAATGGTTTTTATTAGAAGTTCAACATCATCAATTTCCCCAGGTATATCAGAGAGAGCATTGAAGATTTGGGCGGAGTTGGAGATTTCTGTGAATCTATTCTCTTTTATTTTCAACATCGCTAATGTTACTTTAAACAAGACAATAGAGCCATCAAAGAAAAATAGATCCCATATTCTTAATAAAATTTTCATATGGACTACATTAGCATACAAAGTTAGAAACCAATGCATTGTGATAAGTGATAGTTCAATGTCGTGAGCATTAAGGACCTGGTCGATGCCTGGTAAATAGTTTGATATAAGACTCCTTAAAACTTTTTGATCTGCTTGGATTCCAATCAGTGTTGATGAATAATAAGAAGCTGGTAAAAGATCTTCCACTGTTGTACACATTATCCAGAATGCTTCTTCTTCTTCCATTAATAGTAATAGTGATGCTGCAATCATTCCTGTCCCTTGACAGTATCCAATGTCTGGATAGAGCCATGCTAAGGCTCTGAGGATGCGTCTAAGCCGAGGTACACCAGTGCTAGTTGGATGTGAGAAACAAACATTATTAGGCAGAATTTGGACTAAATCTTTTTCTATTTGTTTGCTAGTTACCAAACCATCATCACTTGATGCCCTTACAATTTCATGATATGTTATTTCAGTTGACGCTCGTTTCTTGTTAGCTCCACATAAATGCATCCAGACTTGAGGCCTAAGTGAATGTGGTACACCATCTTTGACCATTTTCTGTAGTTTATCTGATTTTTCAAGCTTACCACTGCCTTCGGTAAAATTAATTTCTTTGCTGTAAAACTCCCATTGCAGTCTATGTTGATCATCTTCAACAAATGCATTAGCTAATAATTTGTTTGAGCTTTGTTCCGGACCATCTTCTTCTTCAATACAAAAGCCAAACTCGTCGAAACTGTAGTCTGGTAGTCCACCTCCGTGTCCTTCGGATTCTGGTTGTGCTAGTTTAGCCATTATGTCTTGGGGCACCATACTAGGCGTTAGAGCAGAAAATGGCCCTCCTGGCGCAGGAAGAAGTTCATCAGCTATGTTTAGTCCTCTAATCGCGTCGATCACGTCTTCAGGGTCATCATCGTTCAGCGCTGCACTAATCTTACGTTCGTGGTCTTCACGACCGACATACCCAACATGATCTCTTGAACTGAATAACGATTTGGCAAGATCCATTTTGAATCACTTACAAAATGTCCATGAATTACAGCATAGAAGCGAAACCAAGACTTTCGTTAGACTATTTTATTTACAAATTTTATTTTTTATCAAACTGTTATTGATCAGATTTGATAGGTGACATTTATCAGATATTTTTTTTGAGTTTATGGCCTGGTATCTAGACCTTTAAGCCATGACATTTAACAGATAATATAATATATAGATAGGTCCCGTAAACGGGGTGATTAGAGATTGAGAGGTGAATGGGGGAAAACCAGGAAAATCTTTCGGCGCTCAATATTAGTTTTATATTCGTTGAAAAATCTTCCATTTTGTGTAGTTTAATAGTAGAATGTTGAAAGTTCACAAAACGACTCTGAATATGCATGATAATAGCTGCTAACTATTAAAAAATCACATTTCAAATTAACTTCTTGTGGTGGTAATTATTTTAGTGCTAGAAACTTTGCTCTCTTTTATTTATTTGATAATAATAGAAGATAACTGTTATTTATAAACGTTATTTAGTGTTTGAACTATCATATATATTAAGAGTAAGTCTCAGTTGTTATTGGTTTTAATGTTTTTTGATAATATAAAAATACATGTAAAAATCTGTTGTTTTTGGGGACAGCGGGGACGTCTCAGGTATAAATAACAACGAAAAAGGAGTCAATTGAGATAAGAATAAGTTGAACGGGAGCACCTTAATATAAATAGGCACAGGTTTGTAGGGTTGCCTATGTAGTTATAACAATCTTTTTTAAATGTGTTGGTAAGAATCTGGTTTATTCATGATGTTTTTGTCTAGAACTTTTATTTAATTATTAATGCAGTGTTATTTTATTCTTTAGCTAATATTTATATTATCAGTTGCGTATTGTTTTCTATTTATAGATATATGCCTCACGTGTATCAAAGAGTGCAAAGCCTTATAAGAGACTAGCTGTACCCGTCCGCTTCGCTGGGCATTTAAAATTGACATGATTATTTCTCACCCCACAAAGATTCTCATCATTAACGCCCCCACAACTAGTGTAGGGAGTCCAACACTCATATAAATATTAGCCTATCCATTAAGTACATGTATTTCCTAGTTATATACCAAGTTTCAAGTCAATAGAATGCATGGTTTAACCACTAAAACCACTGTAGATTTATATATTACACCGGTCACTCACATGCGCACGAATACGCAAACCCGCAAGTGTAGGACGACATTTGTGAATGATTATGCAAAGTTTTCGCTGCATTCGTGGTTTTCAAAGCTGTGTCGGTTTTTTAACAGATAACAAAAATCGCGCGAACCTCGAACCTTCGCGTAGTCTCCCACACATTCGCTTGCCCAGTTGCGCCGACGATTGCGAAGGTAACAGACGTATCGCCATTTTCATAGTTCGTGACGTCTACTGTGTAGCGTATCTTCATCAAAAGAAATCCCATAAAAACAGCATGGCTGTTAATGATGTCTGGGAAAGAATTCAAAACTCTTTTTCTTTTCAATGTTCTATTGACGAATTAAAAAGGAGGAGAAATTCGTGAGACATTCGTAAACAAGTGTAGGAGGAAGCGCAAACGGGTTCNTTCGTGACGTCTACTGTGTAGCGTATCTTCATCAAAAGAAATCCCATAAAAACAGCATGGCTGTTAATGATGTCTGGGAAAGAATTCAAAACTCTTTTTCTTTTCAATGTTCTATTGACGAATTAAAAAGGAGGAGAAATTCGTGAGACATTCGTAAACAAGTGTAGGAGGAAGCGCAAACGGGTTCGCAAATTGAGTAAGCGAACCCATTTGCACAGCCGCTAGGTTTGCGAATGAATGTTTGACGGCCCTTCACATGCGCGCAAACATTCGTACAATGTACGAATAAGTCAGTGGCCGGCATTAGTATAGATATGATCCCTTAATATTAAAAACAGCAATAGAAGCCTATGAAATTGGGAATAAGCCTTCAGTTGAAATAGCTAAGCATTTTAATATAAGTTCGTTGGTTTTGCACAGACATATAATAAGAACAATGAAATCTCAAGGTGGACAAAAATGTCCAAGGCAGAAGCAGAAAAATATATAATAAAATATATTAATATTTGTTCAGAGTGGGCGTATCCACTTGATTCTTATAACTTACGCTAAAAGGGATATTTAGATCGAATTGGCATAAAAAATAATAATTTTTTAAGTGTCCAGAAACGGTTTCTATGGAACTTGTCTTACAACTACAATCTGGGTAGAAAGTTACCCAGCTATAGAGACATACTTCGCCACTTTAATCTAGACTCTTTTCTTAACCGGAGGGAACTAATGGGTGGTATATTTCTAAGCAAATTAATCCATGGAATAACCGACACACCTAATCTCTTAGCTCAGATAAAAAAATAAAAAAAATCACTTTGTTGGTGCAACTAAATAAATAAATTAAAACCAAGTAGTGCTAGCCCTAGCGAATTTCTCTATTGATACTAATTTCGTCCCCATTAACCCCAATTTCCGGTGAATAGGGATATCACCTATTTTTGCTTTTTTTTTTAAACTGGAATTCTAATTGCATATTTTTACATTGGATAACAAAGATACCTCCAAGACTCAATCATTTTGATCCTGATATAGCATAAATACATCAACAACTACCTTAAAATTGCTCATAAAGTTGCGATTTGTCCCTAATCACCCCGTTTATCGATACCTTTAAAATTCATTTCATATAGGTACAATTACAGTAACGTCATTTTATTTGCGTTAGCATCTCCTGTAGTCTGTCACAGTCTGTGTGTACCATAGATTATACACTTGGTGTGTACGTAGTCTGTGACCGTTTAAATAGTACCTATATACACTGATTCATACATTAAATAAATTTTAAATTCTATATAGGTTTAGGTGTCTATTGTAAAACTATAAAATTTACTTATAACTACACGAATGAAATAGTACAATTAGTACATTTGTGGTAGAAAAAATAGGCTAGTACTATGGATATGGTAAGATCTTGGGTTTGCTTTTTTTGGGATTAAGTACGAGTTAGGTATATATTTTGTGTTACATTCAATGTTTGACGCATTCAAAAACTATGCCATAATGATGTACTGTAGGATGAAGTTCTTCACTTTGCCTGAAAGCTTTAAGTTCTGCACTGTGGGAGATGTGTCAATATTTACACAAGTGTAACGTCTTGGGATATTTATAACTATTGTTAAATCACGTTCGCATCACGTACCCATTGCAGTTCTACGATCGTCGAAGGTTTCCGACATTTAAGTATTCTTATTCACCGACATTTGAATATCATAATTTCGAGAATAAATCTGAAAAGCAGTTTATATAATGTTTGTCATTTGCAAAGACCTAAGGAACTACTGGATCTTATTGTTATTGAATACAATCATTGATAACTGGTTAAGTTCTGAAATCTCATTAGTTGTAGACTTATGTAACCTGCTTATTTGTTCTAATGAACTACCCGCTTTAGATGACCGATTATTGATACAATTGTATTGAATACAATTATACAGAACTAATGAAACTGTATTAGAATTTTCAGGAATTAATTCATTTTCGGGAATTAGAAATTACAAATTAGTTTACTAATGTTAATGATTTTACCAAGTTGAATTAATTAGTGCTATTGGTTGTCTCTCTCATTTAAATTGATAAGGTCTAATCAAAGTGAATCTTATCATTTTTGAAACAGCTCTGAAGATAACATAATAATATCATTTCACCTGTTGAATAATTAAAATAATTAAAATGATAATTGGTCCCTCCGGAATCTGGATGCTCAACAGACGGAATTAACTTACTATTATGATACTAATTTTTTTATTGCAGTTAGGAGAAACAGAGAAAAAGCGTCAAACTCCACCCATGTTGAAAAAAATTTTGCAGTATGATGTTCAAATTACGAAGACATTTGTTGACAGAGCACTAAAAATAACTGCTCTAAAGTCTTTACGGAACCATTCTCAATTACTAGAGGTATGCAAAAAATTCAAAGAAATCAAATTTATTGGATATTCGAAAATAAATAATAATTACAAGACTTGTTTAAAAATATATAGTTGAATTAATTATTAACTCGTATTGCTGAGAACTGTATTCATTATTATCAAATAATCTTTAGTCCGCTACCTTCTTTTTTTTGACTCAATTACTTTTCGTAATTGCCCATTTCAACTGAACACTGCTTATACATATTTATATGTTATGCTTGTTTTATTGAAACTGCCACTTAATACAAATAAATTATGAAATGTTAAAAAAATATCCCTTTGTTTGGGTATAAAGGTCCCACTTAAATATTTGTATGTACACAGTACAGCTTATATGATCTTTGTTCCAGATATCATGTCATGGCATAGTTTGGCTTGCAGGCTGGCTCACTTTCATATGGCTGTTTAATAGTAAAGATCTTTACCAGTTGCAAGTTAATATGTTGATTGGTACGTAAACAATAAAACAATTTTTTTCCATGCACTTTGCTCATAAGGCATTTAATTTGGAAATGCTGAATGTTATTTGTTATTTAAAACTCAAATAAAATTAACAATGTACTATGGCTTAAACAAAGTATTACACATTTCTTATGACAGATATATGACAGATTCAGATTTAAAACTTATTTCTAAAAGCAATTTAGTAAAATTGATTGAATTCAAAAAGAATCTCATCCAGAATAGGGTTGTAACAAGTTTGATTTCTTTTCAGCACTAATTTTAGACATTGTTGTGGTAGCTGTATTGAAAGCATTTGTAAGAAGACGACGACCGGTACCAATGAATAAGCTCATGGAAGTTGGTCCTGATAAGTTCTCATTCCCATCCGGACATGCAAGCAGGGCTGTGCTCATCTCGTTCATTTTAATATACTTTGATTCGGTATCAATAATTTTCTACCCCCCACTTATGGCTTGGGTAGTTTCAGTGTCCATTTCCAGGGTATTGGCTGAACGTCACTATCTACTGGACAGCATAGGAGGTGTGGGTATTGGAATTCTTGAAGGTCTCTTCATGTCCCTCATATGGTTGTCCCAAAGTACATCTGCTAGTATTCTGTCATCATTGTCTGATGAAAAATTAGATGGTGGAGAATACCATGTATAAACATAAAGTTTTTTATTAAACATTTAGAAAGCCTAAATGATTCTAGTATGCTTAATATAAATTAATATTATTTTAAAATTGTTAAATATTGTTTTAGGAATATGAGTAGACTTGGGCCATTACAAACTGCAACTGAGTCATAAATCATTTTTATCAGACCTCTCGTTCACACTTATAGGCATATCCGATCTCTCGCCCACACGTCTACACATTCGTGTATAAAACTTAAATCAATATAATTAAAAAAAAAAACGTTTATTATTTAAATTTTTTCTGGGTCACTTTTTAATTCGTTAAACCCTATCAACACATTATGAATAACCAAACGAGTTTGGGCGTTAATATCACCTTTTAATTTTAACAAAGTTAAGTTTTATCGAATAATGCTTCTATGGTTCGCGTAGGATTGTCTTGTCTAATGATAACTAACACAATTTTTACAAATACCTACAACCTACATTTGACATGTACCAGTCATCAACGACTACCCAAACCCAAGCGGTATCCCTCGATATCGAGTTGCGCGACATTCCTTTTACGTAATATTTTATGACTCAGTTCGCACATTTGTAATGGCCCAAGCATAGATACTGATATCGAATTATAATCGTGCAACTAAATTAAATTATCTCGTTGTCTTTTTATACTGTAACTTTTGTTGATGTTCACTTAATGAAAAAAATAAAAATTAACACTTTACATTTGTGTACAATAATTTATTTTAAACTTTGAAAGTACTGAAACGACTTCACTTTAATTAAAAATACTTTTATGGTATAGTCTGGTATTTATTATTTCGAATATTTTGGTTTCTGACCATGCTATGAAACCCGTAAAAGTGGTTTTAATTATAACTACGACTCGATAACCTTGGAAAACTTTTTTTCGGGCCGGCGGCCGAACCTCCTACAAGGTTCCCATGCCCAAGGAGCGCACGGGGCATGTGGGATTTGTCGATCTAGGTACTTTTAGGGCCCTACCGCACCAAACAATGATGGCCTTGAGAGACCATATCAGCATCACCGGGCGAGTCGGTGAGCTCACGGGGCTCAAACCTGACGTTGCTAACACGAACCCTAGCAAGAGTCGTGCCTCGCCGAACCTACCGCCGGATCAGAAATTCGACCCACTGAGAAGATCCGGCGAGAAACTCAGTGGGCTGCGTCTGTGGGTACTCGCCGATCCCTTCGTCGCAAGCGACGGGTTCGACGAGACCGATCAAAACCTGGCCAGGTTCCTGTGATGAACATTACAACCAGACTCGCCACGCCACGCCGAGGACGAGGCAATAGTCGACAACCAATGATGCTGGTGTCTGCGGTACGGCGGCCCGACTAGGCCACCTGGGTGATGCCGCTGGTGATCCGGGATACCCCGCTGAGTCAGAACTAGCCTGCCGGGTCGGAATGCGCTACATCGCCGACCAGATTGCTCTGCTATAATATGTTTTTTTTTATTTTTTTTTTATTGCCCTTGTAGGCAGACGAGCATACGGCCCACCTGATGGTGAGTGGTTACCGTTGCCAATGGACTTCAGCAATGCCAGGGGCAGAACCAAGCCGCTGCCTAAATGTTCGGCGACGACAGCGATGACGGCAATTCGTATCGCAGCCTACGACACGCCGTCTCATCCTCCTGGTGCCAGCGCGCTAGAGTGACCGTAGCCACGACGTTTTATTAAAATTATGTCTACGAGTAATTAATTAATTATTATTATTATTTTATTGCTAGATGAGTGGACGAGCTCACAGCCCACCTGGTGTTAAGTGGTTACTGGAGCCCATAGACATTTACGACTTAAATGCGCCACCCACCTTGAGATATAAGTTCTAAGGTCTCAAGTATAGTTACAACGGCAGCCCCACCCTTCAAACCGAAACGCATTACTGCTTCACGGCAGAAATAGGCAGGGTGGTGGTACCTACCCGCGCGGACTCACAAGAGGTCCTATCACCAGTAATTACGCAAATTATAATTTTGCGGGTTTCATTTTTAATACACTATGTTATTCCTTCACCGTGGAAGTCAATCGTGAACATTTTGTTGAGTACGTATTTCATTAGAAAAATTGGTACCCGCTTGAGATTCGAACACCGGCCGAATGCATCGGACGTCTTATCCGTTAGGCCACGACGACTTCGAATTAATAGGGTTATGCATATAAGGTAGCTGCAGGAAAATCGCTTGCTTTTTATTTGATACTAGCTGACCCGGCAGACTACGTAGTGCCTCAATCGATAAATAAAAGACCTAAACTTTTGTATAACAAAAGGAATCCGTCTGACGGGGGACACATCAAAGGAAAAACAAAATTGTTATTTTTATTTAATTCCTAGCATTTTCATATCTACCTTTTAAACCTTCTTTGGACTTCCACAAATAATTGAAGACCAAAATTAGCCAAATCGGTCCAGCCGTTCTAACGAACTACCGAGACTAACGAACAGCAATTCATTTATATATATATATATATATATATATATATAGGTATATATATAGATTTTAAAGTCCAATAAATATTATAATTAACTTTACATATTATTATCTCATAATGAAACTTTTTAACATCTATTGTGTCGTGTAGGCTTATGGTCCCCTAAAAATATTATATAAAATCTCATTTGATCATAAAAATAGTCTAAAATATTGCCACTGTAGACAGATGAGCAAACGTCTCACCTGATGGTGAGTGGTCATGAATATCAGCAATGCAAAGGGCATACAGTGTTGCCAGATGACCTTGTGAATTTCCCCCCAACTTTTTTCGAAAATCCCCCGAAAATAGGCTTTTTGAAGAAAAAAACCCCCAAAACAGTTTTTACTTATTTTAGAGAAGAAATAAAAAACCAAAAGGATTCTTTTATTTTTTAATCAAGCTATCCCTATAACTTCAACCATCTCTAAACAATTATCACGATCATATTCACTTTCGTTATTATTATTTAAAGCATACTCGTTTTCGAAGTTAAATATATTTAACATGTCCGATGTGAGAACAAAATTTATGCATCTATTTGGCAGTGAAAATCGAATCCTGAGAACCGCTTCGGCAGTTTCTATTGCTATTTGGTTGCATAAATTGTCCTTTATGATATTGACTTGTGAATAGTATAGTAGACTATAATTATTCTAATAGTAATTGCAAATTGATACTCAAAAAACCTCCGAAATTTCCCCCAACTAACTTTTTCCCCCCGAATGTCCCCCCAAAGAATCTTTCCCCCCGAATTTCCCCCCCAAGGTCGAAAAACCCCCCGAATTTGCAGGGAATCCCCCCCATCTGGCAACTGTGAGGGCATAACAAAGCCACTGTTTAAAAATGAAACTGTTTTCGTTCAGTAATCAATATTGACATAAAGTCAAAGAGATAAAAGGGAGATTAACAGTGGAAAATGTAAAATTTATAAATATAGCATCGGAGAGGTGTTTGTGTAGACGGTGTAACACAATAGCCCACTTATAATATCGGCCCGCTGAGGTTCTGTTTGCGGGGGTGCTCACACAATTTTTAGCTATTCCTCTTTTAGTTAAGCCTTCGAGTTCGTCCAACCGTCCTCATTAAACGGTAAGGTCTTTGGGCAAAATGCAATCCGCCCATTCCCAATAAAAAATTTAACTGTAAGATTGATGTCGACATTGGACAAGAGGAGACACTACGTATTAAATGTATCATCACCATAGACCTTTAATACTTCAGTAATCGTCACGGTCTTTTTAATAACAGTTGTCATACCCGTATATTTTTAACATTAGAGGTATATGATTTTTTATTGTTTTTGCTTAGATGGGTAGACGACGCAAGGCCCACGTGTTGTTAACCACTCACCTTAATTCATTTTTCATTCGTGAGATATGATTTTTTTGTATGGGTTGTAAGGGCTGTGTGCCCGTTGCATGTCCAATAGAGGAATAAAACAGCTCACCATGACAGTTCAGTGACGTACAGTGACGTTTCTGACGTGTCCATATTCAAAAATTGTAAAACTTACATACATATTTTGTTTATTTTTGCGGATTTGTTAGCATTGAAGGTAAGCTAATTACGATCGGCTTGACGATCTCGGGGTATGGTGTTTAATTTCCTATTTAATATATAGGAATACATAGTTTAAATTATACAGCAAGATGGGCTTTACAATTTTCTTTCGATTGTCTACAGGATACAATTTTCTTTTGATTGTCTACAGATGAGGAAGCTGAAGGGTCCCGTCAAAGAGACAGCTAGGCAGAAAAGGGAAAGAAAACAAGAATTCGCGAAAATGCGAAAACAAATACATACGATTGTGTTACCAACTGTCGTTGTAATATTTTTATTAATTTGTGTGTACGTGTATATTAAAACTCGACCGTCGACGATGCACGACGCATAGCAGTAACTTTATTATGTAAATAGAATATACATTCTTGACTTATTCTGGGGGTGGTTTTTCAAGTTGTGATTGGGACTCAATGTGGTAGCAAGTGAGAGACTTTGTGCTATATGTTTATACTATGTTTATTACAGAAACATTCCAAGTTTTACCAAGCATATCAAGGTGTTGTTTAATAAAAATATTTATTGAAATAAAAACAAAAAAAAACATGTTTTTTTTTTATTCACAATTTAAGTGTAATATATTCAACTTTATATCACATAGTTATTAAGGTTGTTATTGTTAGTACACATTTGATTTAAATAAATAAAAACACTTCATCAAACTTGCAAATAATTTTTGCGAAACTAAATAAAATATGTTTACATTAAAATATTTCTAACCAGGATTTATTTTGACGTATGGACAAATAGGATAACAATAAATATAAATCAACAATAATTTTATTTTGCCTTACTTTAGAAATTGATATCTAAAGTACCTATACACTAAGTGCAACAATACATAAAAATAACTTTTAAGATTAGATATTTCTACCACAGCCCAAGTAATACAATTGTTACGAATTCCGAAACGTCTTAACGATTATAATAAATAGCAGCTAAACTTAAAAAAATATATTAGTAAAATAAGTTTGATAAGTTTGTAAATAAAAACAGATTCATTTGTAAATACAAGTTATTTTTTTTTATTTTTTTTTTATTGCCTTTGTAGGCAGACAAGCATATGGCCCACCTGATGGTGAGTGGTTACCGTCGCCCATGGACTTCAGCAATGCCAGGGGCAGAGCCAAGCCGCTGCCTACCGCAAAATGCTGTTATAGCAATATGAACCTATGAGTATTTACTGAAATGTTCTTAGCTCATATTATTGTAGACAACACACTTAAAGGTAGTTTGATATTTATTTTGAGGTGCCACTATGTTAGTTCTAATTCACACAGAAAGGATATTTTTCAGGAAATTCAGCAGGATCATTTATACTAGATTATATATACATAATTAATGTTTTATGGTCAATAAAATGTCTGAGGTATTATAATATTAGAATGTGAAGCAGTACCTACTTCCACAATTGGATGCCATAAGCCTAAGTGGGTTTAATAATAAATTGATATAGTAACAGCTTATTATCAACTGACAGTTGAGATTTTCTATTGAGAAGCCAATTTACGTATACTCGGACCCATCACAAGACACTTGGTGAATCTATTTTAAATTTTCTCCAAGTCAGTCTCCTGTTCAGGTACATCCCCAAGTACCTATATTTTCAGATAGTAAGCTAAAATAAATATCTTACACCAATTCCCCAATTTACTTTCCCAGTAAATTGTGGTAATTTTTTAAGTCAAATATAATAACTAAAAATACTTTACTATATTGCACTTGAATTGAGATCAAACTTAAGGTGCTTTTATTAGCTTCGCCTGTGTCTTTGTGTCTTATCAATGTAATGCTCATCAAAAAATCTTAAAGACCTTAAAAAACTTTACGAAACTGCGGAAGTTACGGTTAATATGCGATATGTAGATACCTATCTCACAGTACTTACTTATCTATCGAATATATTAAGTGTATAATCTATGCTTATCTATGAATTAAATTATTAATGAAATGCAATTTAAATGAAAAATGTTAGGAGCCATTATGCGCGTTTCATTAGTTCACTAGACGATGACCGAGCTTTGCTCGGTATTTTTTTTATTTTTTATATGAAAAAGACACAATTAATACAAATAAACAATTCATTTTCTTGGTCTAACCTTAAACCAAACACTCATTGGCTTCGGGTGGCTTAACAACGCCATCTGCTGAAATAGCTTAATAGTATTATTATTCACCAATAGATGTGGGAAAGAGTCATAAAGTTGATTATCGATAAAGTTGATTATTGAAAATACGAAAAAAACAACATTTTCTGAAAATAATTCGTAGCTAGATCGATTTATCGCCCCGAAATCCCCTGTATACTAAATTTTATAAAAATCGTCGGAGCCGTTTCCGAGATTCAGATTATATATAATAATATATACAAGAATTGCTCGTTTAAAGGTATAAGATAGCCTAAGATAAGTTGCTGTTTATGGAGATATGTTCATGGAATGTCAATACCCATCTTGAGACGACCTCGAAGTCTCTATTGTATTGTATAAATAATGGCTGTTTTACCCTTTAAACTGGAACTGTGATGACTGACGTGACGTCATGAATGATGAATACATCTTATAACTATAAATGCTGTTTGGTGGTCGCAGTACGCATCTCATCTCATTTCGTTTTCATTTTATTTCATTTCATGCCATGTTTCATATTAATCAACTTCATTTCATATAAAAGTTTTCACTAAATTAAAATAAGACTTGACCTAAAGGTCCTTGAAATAAATAGGGGGATATTTGTTTCTCTTCTGACGTCACTTTTAGGGATACAGTGTTAATACCTTTTCATAAATTTCTTCCCGATGGGTTCTAGAACTTCTAGGGGACAATTTTCTTTAAAAATACCACCAAAAACACTATCTTTGACTTATTAAAGTCAGTTCCCCGAATCATTCGAAAAAAAAAAAACATCGGCAAATGGATTCTAACTGTAAAGTTTATACGAATTCAAATTAATTTATTGATGTGTTAGAAGCGCTCACTGTTCACGTAGATTAATTACTGTTCACGTTTTGTTTTTTATTATGAGCAATATGGAGTATCCATCCGACTAACCAACAAGTGGCCAGAGTTATAAAAAGACCGCTTACGATGTAATAGTGCGTTGTTATGTGAAACTCCAAGTTTTGTAACAGTATGTACGTGAGGAGAGACTGCAAAGCGACGCCGAGGAGTGTGTTGATACCGAATATCAGCCCGAAACAACTGTCGTCGATTAATTGACTAGCTATTTTTGAGCTGAAATTGAAAAAAAACAACTCTTAATATATTAATAAAAACAAAAAGGGTGCGTGTACTTATGTACGCGCGTAAGAAGTTATACTTTATTTTTATTAAATTTATTTCTTTTTTTTTTAATATTAAATAATTAATAATAAATATTTAACGTTAATAATTTACTAATATTTAGTACGAATTATATTAAATAATAATTTTGTCATTGATATTACTAAAAAATGAATGCTAATAACACATTTTTTTACGAGTGTACATGCGCGAAAGTTCACCTGCGGCTATATTCAGACTCGCCAAGTTACCTCGGTCGTATTGTAATGAGCGATTTAGTGGGCAACTTCATTTCTGTTAATTTTGTGTCACGGTGCGCGCGCATCGTAAAATTTCACTCTCATCTATTTTTCATAACGCGCCTAAAGAAGTATAACTTCAATTAAAAATCCCGTACAAATCACACACGATCCTTGATCCTCCAAATTTATATCCGATAATATTAGTATTTTAGAACTAGTATACTATTGAAAAAAATGCAACACTAAAGAAATAAGATTTAAGTTACAATTTATTTATTAAATCTAACTCACTAACTCTTATTGAAACAATGGATGTTATGACAAAACACATTAATGATTTACGGTAGATAGCAGTGGTTTCTCAACACGTCACAAGTAATTAACTATATATATATCCTCACCTGGCCAAAGTGATGATGTAATGAAACATGACTCCCATGACAACGTATCCAGCGTAGGAAACGAATACGTTCGATATGTAGGTAGTTAGAAACAGAGCGATTCCTTGTATGGCTGAAGAAAGTGCGGGACTGAAGGACTGCCGGTCGTACGATGCTATGTACGCAGCCCCGGCCCCTAACAGAGTGGTAGCGGCTTCCGCAGCTCCATTGTATAATACCTGATAGTGTTTGTAAATCAGAATGTATCCTTTAGTGTAAAAATTCAAATGGATGCGTTTTTTTTTATATTGATGCACAAAACAAATTACAAACATGAAAATTATAAGTTTAAATATTTAACATAACAATCTGGCATACAGAAAAAAATTAACAACTGAACAGATGCCTATATACCTTGTGTATATATACATGTATACATAAACACATACGCTCACACACACACACATACAACCACACACACACATACAACCGCACGCACACACACTTACACACATATGTACGTTACTATCTAAGTAAGTTGTGTCTTAAGGCACAGGTTCAGTTTGAAAATTAGCTGACCCACATCACAATAACTGCAGAACTAGCGAATGGGTGAGGGAAGTCAAGCTGTGATGGCCATGAACTTTGGTGACTACTTTACACCAGTTGAGTTATGAACTTCTTCACCAAGTAATTTAAAAAATAAAACCTGCCTGTCAAATCAGTATGCAACATTTCTTCGAGTATGATTCACGATCGAAATTGGTAGGATAATAAGTTTAGGGTAGCAAACTGTTTTTAACTGGTAACAATAATTATGTTTAATGAAAGGAAATAATTCTAAAAAAATTACTATTACATGTTCAGTGAACACACATTAGATATTTTCTAATTACTTGGATCTGTACCCATCATAAGATTATGGACTATGATCTTGTCACATGATTATGAGTATGCTTGCTCTTATTTGTTAATCCCCTAGCTTGATAATGCGGTATCTTATTATTATACATTAGGTGACAAGCTCATACGGACTATTGTCTCCAAAACAAATAATTTACAGTAGCCAACAATGTCCTCTAGACTAACATTGTTGATGACAGCTAGATACCAGTCACTGCCTTTTAAGCCTAGTGAAAATAAATAATAACATACCGGATTCGATTGTTCTTTTTGTATGTACCGCCACAGTATTTGTATATAAGTCTGAGCTTGCACGAAGAGGGCTAAAGCGACCGCATACAGAGCGCTCCACGCTATCACTTTTGGACGGGAGTAAGCCGCCCTCGAGTGTTTCAATATTAAACTCGAAGCCTCTATTAAATTACTTTTGAATGTACGCTTAAAAAAAAGAAATAGATCTATTTAATGTTGGCTTTTCTTTTATTTTTTGCTAAAATTGTTATTAGGCTCAAGATATTGGTTGTAGCTTTTTCACAAGAGTCCATACCCGATCCTGTGGACCGAATGGTAAACAGTCGACGTCGTCTCAAACACGTCATTACGGATCCGCCCGATTCATTAACGGTGCTTTTAAGTACCTCAAGCACCGGTCACCGTCCCCGCCAAACCCGGCGCTTGCGACGAAGGGCTAGACGAGCAAATTAACTCATAGACACAGCCCACTGAGTTTCTCGCCGGATCTCCTCAGTGGGTCGCGTTTTCTATCTGGTGGTAGATTCTGCGAAGCACTGCTCTTGCTAGGGACAATGTTAGCAACACTTTCCGGTTTGAGCCTCGTGAGCTCACCTACTAGTTCGGTGAATTTAGAATAACCCCTCGAGGTTACTAGAGTAGGTAGAAAAAAAAACAAGATAATTTCAAGAAAAGATTTTGGAACGTGCTGTGTATTACTTTCATTAAAACAAAATTAATTTTCTAGAATATGTGGATGAGAGCACTGTTTTTAAGTACTTTGAATTCTACTGCAAAGTATATTAAAACAATGGAATAATAGATTAAAATGAAAATATTATGATAGGGAAGCTAAAGTCATGTTTAAAATATTATAAGAAAAGATAATTTATTGAAATTATTGCGCAATTTTATTTTATTTTAAGAGGGATCAAATTATAATGCAATTACCATTTCTTGTTTCAGTGGGTGTTTTTGTAGAATTCATAGAGGGCATAAAAACAGTGGAGACATTATGTTCTATTATTGTTAATCTATTTGGATATACCATACAAGTAGTTAGTTTGGTTTTCAACAAAAGAAAATAGTTTGAAAAATGTCTGCAGATGATAACAAGCATCCTCAACTGTAAGATTCATAAAGATTTTAATAGGCACACATAATATAGATACAGTTACATAGTGATTCTATTTTCCCCAGCAAGAAAGGCAAAGAGTGCCACACCATATACGTTAAATTTTTTTCTGTTATTATAAAAATGATAGGTTAATGTGATGATGATATATACCTTTTCTGAGGTTTTATATGATGATTTATCAACAGGGGTATTAATTGTTGATATCCTTCTGTGAAAGTATATTCCATATTTAACTGGAGGCAGCCATAGTGCCCAAAATGTTGCTAGTATCTGCGCTATAACAGATAAATCATTTTTCACCATGTACGATTATAGAGGTGCTACTTTGCATTATTATGTAGCATCTAGTTCTTTAGTTAGTTTGTCTTTATATATATGAATGAGATAAAGTAATGCTATTACCTGTCAAAGTTATGTAATTTAGTTCCCTGTAGTCCATGAATTTGAAATGTATGAGTAGTTGTGAACTGACACCAGATAGGAACCTTCCTGTCAATGATGCAATCCTAGTACACGACGTAACTAAAGGGTACTTCTTCGGATCCACCTGCAGACATTGAGAAGCATTAAAATAGTTTGGCAAAACAACCCATCAACAACTTACAAAAAATTTTAAATGCAGAAATAAACAAAACTTCAAATATGAAATTTGATAGATCTTTAATTACAAATTGAACCTCTGTGGCACAGGAATCTATACCATGTACCTAATGAGATGATCAAGCCAGATTTCAAATTTAGAATAAGTATGTAATTATTTAATCTCATATTGCTTGATCTACCAGAAATTCAAAGGGCAAGCTTTATTGAAATATGAAAGTTTCAATTTTTTCTATTACCTTAGTTTCATTACCTTAGCATAAATGTAAGTGTAATAAGCAACTTCAGTGGCCATGTACATTCCATAGAAGAATTGCGAGGCTTGAAGCCACTTTATACTGGATGTCCATAGTAATATACAATACACTGTTATTCCACTGAGACCTGAAAAATATTTGTGATGTATCTTTGTTTTGGTTCATAATTTTTATTAAGTTAAACATTAAAAAAAATACTCTTTTGGGGTAGTATTTTTCTGTTAATTCTTATTATACAATTGTGTATACAAATACCATGTTAAATGCTTACCAGATAAAATAATAACGGGTTTAAATCTCAAGAAATCAGTTATAAGGAAGACCAGCACGAGTTGAGCTAAATAGGAATATGTTCCTACGGGATAAATTTCTCTTTGTAATTGTTCGTTGGTGATGTTTCTCCATTCTACAAGAAAATCCGAAACGAACGGTTCGGACGGTCGTATCTCGCGAAGCAGACCGAACAAACACAGGATAAGTGTCACTTTGATCCAATTGAGCATTGTAAAACGATTCCGGGAAATATAATTTTAATATCCTTGTTATGTAACTGTAGTTTGATTTCTTGCTTTGGAGTTTAATTCCCATTAGCAAACGATATAAATTTACTTTAAATTAATATCAAAAAAATCTCAATTTTTTAAAGACGAAGATTAAAGTAAGTGAGAGTCGCCTCGTTTGTGTCTTAGATTATTTGATACAGTTTGTGCTGCACATGATGTCATTTAAATTAGTTACATAATTAGTACTGATTAGAATTATGGCACATTCGTAAAGTTTGTTTAAAGAAATAAAAATATGTTGATAAGCAAGACATTGATATTGACATACTGCTCTAATGTTGACTTGAGTGTACCGGTAAAATGGGGCGATTAGGGATTGAGAGGCGAATCGGGAAAAAACCGGGAAAATCTTTCGACGCTCAATATAAGTTTTATATTCGTTGCAAAATCTTCCATTTTTTGTAGTTTAATAGTAGAATGTTGAAAGTTCACAAAACAACTCTGAATATGCATGATAATAGCTGCTAACTTATAAAAAATCGCGTTTCAAATTAACTTCCTGTGGTGGTAATTATTTTAGTGCTAGAAACTTTGCTCTCTTTTATTTATTTGATAATAATAGAAGACGACTATGATTTATAAACGTTATTTAGTGTTTGAACCAGCATATATATTAAAGGTAAGTCTCAGTTGTTATTGGTTTTAATGTATTTGATTAAATAAAAATACATGTAAAAATCTGTTGTTTTTGGGGATATTGGGGACGTCTTAGGTACAAATAACAACGAAAAAGGGGTCAATTGGGATGAGAATACGTGAAATGGAAACGACCTAAGTATAAATAGGTACAGGTTTGTAGGGTTGTCTATGTAGTTATAACAATATTTTTTAAATTTGTTGGTAAAAATCTGGTTTATTCGAAGCGAAATTGGGAATAAGTCTTTAGTTGAAATAGATAAGCAATTTAATATAAGTAAGTCGATTTTGCAGAGACATGTAACAAGATCAATGAAATCTCAAGGTGGACAAAAATGTCTAAGTAATACATAATAAAATATTTAATATTTGTTCAGAGTGGGGGTATTCATCTGATTAATCCATGGAATAACCGACACACCTAATCTCTTAACCCAGATAGAAATATCAGCACTGTCGATTGCACCTATAATTGAGGTGATGTCTGCCATGTACTTTTGTCAGTTTTTCAATTTTTTTTATTGATGATCACTTTGTTGGTGCAACTAAATAAATAAATAAATTAAAACTATATATAAAAATAAAAGTAGTGCCAACCCTAGCAAATTTCTCATTTCGTCCCAATTAACCGCAATTTTCGGGTAAATAGGGATTACACCTATTTTTGCATTTTTTGCTTAAACTGGAATGCTAGTTGCATAATTTTAAATTAGACAACAAAGATGCCCCTAAGACTCAATCATTTTGATCCTTATATAGCATTATATACATCAACAACTACCTTAAAATTGCTCATAAAGTTGGAATTTGTCCCTAATCGCCCCATTTTACGGTACTTAGTATTATCTTTATCTGATTATGCTTTTTTTTAAAGAGATTTTATGACCTGGTAACTAAGACCTTTAGGTCAAGTCTAATTTTAATGATAACTTTTTTGTATGAAAAATGAAATGAAATGAAATGAGATGATATGGGATGAAGTATAATCTCAGTAACCACCATTTTAGTGAGATTTTTTCAGTGGACTTTTTGGAGGATTCCTTTTTGGAGGTAATAGATTTAATCGTGATATAATCCGCGAAGCACTGCTCTTGCCAGGGCAGTTAATAGCAAAATTTCCCAGGCTGAGCCCGCCTACACGTTCATGAAGCTAGTGTAGCTTCGCGAGGCTACTAGCAGTAGGTATGGCTAAAAATACATTAAAAAACGTGTACAAATTTTAACAAAATGAAAAGTGTAAAGCGCCAAGTTGACACTTTTTTTTTGTCAGATTGGTGCTACCGTTATTACCGTTAAGGTAATTCTACTTGAGTTAAGTTGTAGTAATTTTGACTTGCATAGAAAATATACTCAATCTAGTTAAATACGTGATAAATAAACCAAGTTTTTTTAGAATACATCAACAAAATGTCTTTTCCTTTAATTGTGGTGATCCCTTCGCTTTCGATTTCTTGAAAAATGAAACTACTAGTTGTGACACTTGACACTGAACTGTTTATATAAGTGATAAAGTGATAAGGTAGCTCGATAAGTGTAATAGTTCTGGCCTTACGTTAAATAGAATATAAACGCGACGCATAGACCTTGCAATACTTATTTCATGTCTCCTCTCTCAGAGTGATGTTAAAATAGTTATGAAATAAAAAATTACAACATAACACACCAGAGAATTAATTTATAAAAATAAAAATAACGTTTATAAAATGTTCCAATTCTTTGTTGCGTGCGTGACACATTTATGTGTATGTTTATTTAGACTATAAAGTAATAATTAAATCAATTGTATCGCTTTTGAGTGACTACTTTCAACTACTTTGGCCATGACAGCTGAAGATTCCACAAACAAATTACAGTGTTCTCTGTGTAATAAGCAATTTAAATATGAAAGTGAGAGAAAGAGACACGAACAAAGTCACTCCCTACACTTTCAGTGCCAAATTTGTTCCAAGAAATTTAATTTTTTGTAAGTATCAATTTTATAATTAACTAGAGATCCTTCCTCGCTTCGCTTAGGGAACTGTAATTTATTATGAAGATAGATTATGATTAGAATATAGATTATGAAAATAAGATGGCAGATTTTTTTCCTACTTACTTGACACTTATCGTTTTATTTTGGATAATTCACACTATATCTTTATAAATAAATGTGTTATTGTGATGTGTCAGCTATATTATTGTAAAGTTTCATCAAAATCCATCCAGTAGTTTTTGCGTGTAAGAGTAACAAACTTACATCCATACATTCTTACAAACTTTTGCAATCTTTTCATTCAGATATTTGATTTGTTTAATTTGAGTTAAAATATATTTTTTGGTAAGGTATTTTATGACCTGGTAGCTAAGACCTTTAAAGTCATGTCTTATTTTAATTTATATTCTTATTTTTATGAAAAATGATAATATGGAGTGAAATGAAATGAAGATGATTAATTTGAGACATTAATCAACTGGGATGAAATTAAATGAAATGAGATGATATGGGATGAAATATAATCTTAGTAAAACGGTGGTCATTTACTAAGATTTTTTCCGTGGACTTTTTGGAAGATCCCGAGAATTTGCGTCCAGCGGCTTTGTTTCATTTTCCAACATTTGTGCACTTTCACAGATATTAAACAGTTAATAAACCACCGTTATTACACATTTAAACCTGAAGAAACACTAAATAGACAAAATAAAACAAATCACACAACTTCACTCTTCGCGTTCCCTCCAAAAAGTCCCCATATTTTTTGGAAATTATTAATTTCCTGAGTTATGTCATTACATTCATTTTATTGAATACATTTGCTCAAGTAGTATTGTATGTTTTTAGAGGTACTTATTAAATTGTCCAATATGTTCATTGATCTATAGATCCATTTATATATGTAATGAAATTTTTCAACATAATTAATAAGCGACTTCAAGACATTGGATTTGCTTTAAAATGCTTGTTTATAAAAACCAGCAGCAGCACAGAAATTGTATAATAATAATAATAATAATGTTTTTATTGCAAGTAACCATGACTCATATAAATTGTTAATAAGACTTAGACCTATGTTAGTAGTTATATTTACATCACAATGAAGTACTGTCGTAACATCCCATGGGAGATGGCACCACAGCGACCCATGTATACACAGTCCAGCCTGCTTGCGATCATGCTCAGGATACTGTTGGAGCTGACCCTCACTCTGCTTACCAGAGATGCACACCTCTTACGCATGGTAGCGTAAAAACAATCTATGTGCGCGTCTGCAAACATCCTTGATGCGCTACAAAAGCGGGGCAGCACCACCAGCACCCTAAACGCGTTATTATATTGAACATGGAGAGCGTTGTACGATCTTTGAGTATATCCAGCCCACATAACATTACCTGCCTTGACTTTTGCTATTTGAGATTGGTTTTTGTTTTTTTTTTTTTAATTATAACTACATTTTGTTTGTCAGGTCAGCCTTACGGAGACACGAAAAACAGCATTCACGTAAAGGAAGCGTTCAATGTAATAAGTGTGGAGGAAAATTTAGGGATGAAGTTCTACTGAAGCGTCATTTTAATTATGCTCATAAAGGTTTGTACGTAATAGTGCATATAAAATATTATAGTATCAGTTGGCAATATTGTCAAAGGTTCTGACTAAGGTAGTCTGTAAAAATAAAGTAGAGGTGAGGCGCTTTATTGTACACCGAATGAATTGCCAATTTTTTTTATAGCGTTAGTGGTTACTGGAGCTCATAGACATCTACAACGTAAATGCGCCACCCACCTTGAGATGTAAGTTGTAAGGTCTCAGTATAGTTACAACGGCTGCCCCACCCTTCAAACCGAAAAGCATTACTGCTTCACGGCAGAAATAGGCAGGGCGGTGGTACCTACCCGCGCGGACTCACAACAGGTCCTACCACCAGTAATTACGCAAATTATAATTTTGCGGGTTTCACTTTTATTACACGATGTTATTCCTTCACCGTGGAAGTCAATCGTGAACATTTGTTGAGTACGTATTTCATTAGAAAAATTGCAATTGCAAATGAATTTACATAATGGATGAATTGAATTTCTTGAATTACCAATTAAATAGAAATTTATTAATTATAGAATTAATTAATTATATTGAGCAATCTTGACAACACTAAAAAAAAAATTTTCACTTTAAAAATTTTGCCGCCTTAAAAAATTTGCCGCCCTGGGTAATTGCCCCGACTGCCCTTAGTGTAAATCCACCACTGCTTGTAGGTACATTTATTTGTGAGGAATGCGGCGCATCATTTAGCAGCAAACCGGCTCTTCGAACTCATTTGAAGATTCACAGACCTGAATCGGAGAGGCGATACAAGTGCAGCGTTAATGGATGTCGTAAGACTTTCAATTTTCCACATCATTTAAAGCACCATGAGCTGACGCACAAGAATGAGAAGCCGCACTTCTGCAGTATATGCGGGAAAGGTAAGTTTCGCGAAGTTGGCGATAACTTCAGGCCAAAATATTCATGCCCAGGTTAATTAGACTATAAATTTTATCAATAAATCGTCATATAGATGGAATAAGGCCTAAGTAGTAGTACCTACTGAGCGCGCTCAAGCAATGATACCATGCGTGTTTTACGTTCGAAAAAAAAGTTGTGACTCGGTGAAATATGACAGCCAAAAGATAAAATTTTATGTATTATTTTTTTTTTATCTAAGACTGAAATATCATTTATCATCGTTATTCTGCCCTGCTCCCAGTCACCTGGGGTCGGCGCAACATGTTTTCTCCTTCCATACTCCTCTATCATATACCATTTCTTTGCTCACTCCCTTCTTACCCATATCGTCTTTCACGCAATCTATCCATTTCTTTGTAGGTCTACCTCTTCCTCTATATCCTTCCACACTCATAGTTAACACTCTCTTACCAACCTCATTTTCATTTCGTCTCATCACATGTCCATACCATCCCAAACGCGCACTTCTCAGCTTCTCTGCCATAGGTGCCACTTTCAGACTTCCTCTAATATATTCATTCCGCATCTAAGACTAAACCAATTTTCACAAAAAAATTAAGACTCCCGTCACGACGTATTGTGAATAAATCCGGTTCCCACTCATCATGTTTCACTCGGGATCAGCGACTAGAACCCGAAGACAAAATCAAGCGTTGATATTTAAAAAGAAAGTAAAGTTATCTGTTAAAGTAATCTAATTACAAGAGAAGATAATGGCTCGAAGATAAAGCTAAATACAATTTAAAATTGTAAACAACACTAACTCGCAACGTGAAGTCTGTCCGCGATCACTGATCTGTGTGCTTAGTGCAAGTTTCTTAACGTTCTCGATAGCGTAAAAGTTAAGCCAATTTTGTATGCAGTTGGAACAGCGCCCCTAGCGGCAAACGCACGTAATCGATCCCATTCCATACAAATATGAGCTAACTTTTACGCTATCGAGAACGTTAAAAAACTAGCACTAAGCACACAGGAAACAAAAAGAAAAAAAAAAAAATAATAATAAAAAGTTAAGCCAATTTTGTATGGAGTGGAACAGCGCCCCTAGCGGCAAACGTACGTAAACGATCCCGTTCCATACAAATTTGAGCTAACTTTTACGTTATCGAGAACGTTAAAAAAGTAGCACTAAGCACACTGAAAAAATAAATAAAAAAAAAACATTTTCTGTGATTAGCTAATAACCTCGATATATAACGTTCTCGATAGCGTCAAAGTTAGCTCAAATTTGTATGCATTTGGAACAGCGCCCCTAGCGGTAAACTTTACGAGTCCATACAAATTTGAGTTAACTTTTACGCTATCGAGAACGTTGAAAAACTCGCACTAAGCACACCGATTAAGTTAAAAAATCCCACAGCGAATTTTTCGGAATTCCTTTCTTATTTCAATTTTTAGGTTTTATACAATCACATCACCTGAAAGCTCACCTCAGAACCCACGAGCCTGATAATTGGCTGTACTGCGATGTAACGAACTGCAAAAAGAAATTTGCTACCGATTATGCTAGGAAAAGACATCAGGAAACTCACAGTAAGTGTATGAAGTTAACATGGATTACATAACAAAATCCCTTGATTATGGTAGGGGTAGTTTGTGATCCTGCAATAGTGGGTACCACTTGTCCTTTTCTGCCGCCAAACATTCATTCATTCTGATTCGATGTTTGATATATAATAGAAATGGTGACATGTGTTATTTGAATAATAGGAGGGCCAGAAATTCCCTTCCCTTCATTTAAAATGGAAAATAAAAACTAATTTTCAATTGATTTTAGGAAGTAAATTGGAAATCATAACTACAGATACAAAATCTATAACCGAACCATTAGTTGAGGAGGAAAGTCTACGTAAGCATAGTAATTTAATAAAATACAAATTAAATCTATTTCGCGAATACGTACGTCAGTTACTTATGTCAAGTTATTTTTCTTTTTCAGAAACTACCTTATGCACGAATTGTGGTCAGATTGTATTCCAAATTTATTACAACGAACATGTAATTATGTGTAAAAGTAATTTTGATAACAATAAACCGGCATCTCAAAGTTTTTCTTCGGATAAAGAAGCTATTGATCACAGCGTTTCTGATGTAGACGTTCTGGAAGACGTAAGTAGTTGTAAGACGATATTGGGCGGTTGTTTACTCGAGTCTGAAGGCCGAGAATGTTTATGTGAACAAATGAGCCGGAGAATTGGCGAGGGCTACGATGATCCAGCTCCCCAATCAGATGCTAATAGCTGGACAAAATCACTAGACCGCGAGAAAAACGTGAGCGAAAACTTCTGTGATGGCTGCGAATGTTCAAAAGCTGACGAAGTTAAAGATACGAAACTCAAAACTTGTTTACAAAACACGATTTCAACAACAATGACTGATTTAGAAAATAGAACTATTAAAGTAGTGAATGGAGCTATAAAAGTGCTTGATATATGCGATATAGTAATGCCAGAAGTAATGGATGCAAAGCAGACAAGTAAATTTGAAATCCCTAATAGTTGCAGGGAAATGCTCGGGGAATGTATAGTCAACGGAAGCGGCGAAGGCTGTTTATGTGCTCAAATGAAATTCGAACAGATAGCCGCAGAAGAAATAGCCAATATTACACCACAACCAAAAATTTAAAAGATATGCATATGATGCTTTATATTAAACGGTAGTTACTACTTTGTATAACAAAAGAATATCCAGTTAATTAATTTTAACATGTGTTCAAATAAAACTTGTTGAGTACTTAATTGTAGCATGTGTTTATTTTGTGTTCATAATTCCTAAAACGAAATACCAATTTTCTTTAATAATAAAATGAACTGTATCATCGAAGTTTCACTAGTCATTTGGCACGTTTATTGGTTTTATATTGCGTACATGTTTAAAGCAAAGAAGATGTTGAATAAAACAAAATTTAATTAAAATTAACTTTAATTATTCACAACATAATTCTTTACAAGGTCAAACATTTATACAAATAATATGTCTTAATTAACAAATACTAAATTAATTATAATATTACTTTACAAATCAGACCTCACTAAGCACAAACGGGATGAATGTGTGCAGCATATCACAACAGAATGGCAGAACATTCAAATTCTCATCACAAATGTGTATCTACAAAATATTAAAGATATTGCATTATAATTATATAATTAGTAGGGACTGAATTTAAAAAAGGGACACATTTTGTTTAGTAAAGTCATCCAATGATTATTTTAATATAATGCAACTTTTTATAGTGGTAACAATCATAATGGGTAATTTTGTAAATCGTACAAGAAATATCAAATCATGTCAAATGAGCAAGACATTATAACTCTTCTTCATAGTCTTGTCTTTGTTCACTGTTGATTTGTCGAAAAGTCATTACGAGGTTTTATTTTTTTCTCAGCCAAGATTGGTTTGTTACCCTACAAGACTTATAAATTATGATTACTAACCTTTGCAAGTATGCAGTAAAAAACGAAATGAGACAATGTACAAACTACTCCGACTCATTTATACATAAAGTATTTGAGTTTGATAAATAAATCATCGCTAATATGGTGTTTTATCTATATCTAAATTCTTGACTTTTTCTAGTTTGACTAGTCAATATGAAAATCTATGAATGATTTAAATGTTGTTGAAAAATATATAATTCGTTTCATTAGGTATTAGACAAAACTGTTACCTTTGCAATAAGATTGAATTATTACTGATTATTTGGTCCACATTGATATACAGCTATCGCATACATCACAGTAATCTAAAATAGCACTATATACACTTATTTTAACTACAATGTAATGTTTGTTAAAGTTCAGAGCTTTCCAGACAATGATTTAATCCCAATTATTTATAATAATATGTCTAAAGTTAAAGAATAACCATCGCAATCTTTCTTTAACTAAGGATGTTTAATAGACTATATTAAGCTCTCAGTTAGATGAAATTCTTTCAAATTTTATTAATTCTAATCGGATTATTCTAATAAATATCATTCATGTCTTCCAAAAATGGTAGTCCTGTTGATGTAGGTTCGCGATCGTTTGAAAAGCTGGGCGACTTTATTGGCGGGTGCATTGTTGCCGGCGAGAAAATTTCAGGTAAGTCTGTGGGCCTCACTTCGTAAATTTGTATTTGTGGTATTTTACTCGATCGTTCGTTTTCGCTTGGTTTTTCTGCCGTTAGCTCTACATTATTGTCCGTATTGTTTCTCAGTGATACCTCCTTAGATATTTTAGGTTCTTCTGTTGATTCTTCTCGGATTGTGGTTGTCAGTGGCCCCACGGTTAAAGACACATCTACAGATGGTTCTTGGCTCACAATAGATTGTGATTCTGTTGTTGAAGATATTTCTTTGGATGTTTCCTGGTTTGCTGACGAATGTGACTCTGTAGTTTCTTCTTGGATTTCAGATGGCAGCGGTTCCACAGTCAATGCCAGGTCTGGTTCTTGTTCTTGATTTACTGATGTTTCTAGTTCTGTTGTTTCAACTTGGTTTGTTGATGACTGTTGATCATCTGTTTCTTCCTTTTGTTCTGATGGTTGTAGCTCTGTTGTTGATGACGTTTCTGTAGATAGGTCTTGTTTGTATGATGCCTCAGATTCTGTTGTTGTTTCTTTAACTTTTTGCTCATTTAATGAGGAATCCGTTTCTATTGTTTCTACTTCGTTTGCCGACGAGCCTGGGCTATTTTCGTCATCAGAATTCACTAAGAAATCTTCGTCATTTATCTCTTCCTGGTTTGCTGATACTTGTTGCTCAGTTGTTTCTTCTTGGTCTATTGATGATTGTAACTTTGTTGTTGCTGAAATTTCGTTAGATGGTTCTTGATCCATTGATGATTGAGGTTCTGTTGTATGTTCCTGATTTACGGATGAAACTGACTCTGTTATTGCTGACATTTCTCCAGATGGCTGTTTGCTTACTGAAAATTGTGGTTCTGTTGGTTCTGTTTGATTAATCGGTGATTCTAGTTCAGTTGTGTTTTTCTGGTCAATGGAAAAGTTCGGTTGTTCTCTCGATCGTTCTTGGTTTGCTAGTTCTGCTTCAGATGTTAACACAATATCTTTGGATGCGTGATTTATCGACGATGGTTGTTCTGTAGTTTCCTCATTATCAATTGGTTCTGGTTCTATGGTCGGGATCGTTTCTCCAAACGGTTCCTGGTTCATTGATAGTAGTTGCTCTGTTGTTTCTTCAGCATTTGTTGACGGTTCGGGCTCTATTGTTTGTGCGGGTTCTCTAAATTGTTCCTGGTTTATTGGTGACTGAACTTTGGTTACTTCTACCACCTTAACGGACCGCTGTGCTGTTTCTGGTGCCATTTCTCTAGAACGTTCTTGATTTGTTGATGATGGTGGTTCTACGTGTTCTTCGCGGTCTGTTGATAATTGGGGCTCGGTTGTTGAAATCGTTTTTGTATCTAATTCGTGAGTTTTTAGTTCTATTACTGGTTCGGTTTCCCTAGGTTGTTCTTGATTTTCCATCGATTGTGTTCTTGTTACATCATCATTGTTCAATTGAGGTGTTAATGTTGGTGTCATTTCACGGGATTCTTTCTCGTTTGTTGATAGTTGGAACTCTGTTGTCTTTTCAAAGTTTATTGATCGCTCTGGCTCTATAGTCGACATCATTCCTCTAGATTTTTCTTGGTTTATTGTCAGTTCTGGGCTTATTACCGGTGTCATTTCTCTCTGTTTTATTGTTTCTGGGTCCGATGTTGGAGTCATTTCACTTAATAGCACCTGGTTTATTGATTGTTCTTTGTCTATCGTCGACTCTGTTTCTATTGTCGGCTCTGTTTCTATCGGTGGCTCTGTCTCTATTGTCGGTTCTGGCTCTATCGTCGGCTCTGGCTCTATTATTGACTCTGGATCTATTGTCGGTTCTGACTCTATTATGTGTGGCATTCCTCTAGATAGTTCGTGATTTATTGACGTTTCTGGCTCTATTTTTTGTGCAATTTCTATAGGCTGTTCATCATTCATTGACATATCCGGCCTTAATGTTGTCACTACGTCTCTAGTTGGTCCCTGGTTTAATTCTAATTGTGTCACTGTTGTAGGCACCATTTCATTTGAAGATATTTTGTTTACTGATGTTTCTGGATCCGGCACTGTTTGTTCAGATCGCACTTCGTTTATTGATTTTTTTGGCTCCAGTGTCGGTACCATTTCACTAGATGATTCATGGTTTATTGTAGGTTCAAATACTGTTGTTGTTGTTTCACTAGATTCTCCCTTGTTTATAGATTCTACGTCCTTAGATGTTTCATGGTTTGCTGATGATTCTGGCTCGATCGTTAGTGTAATGTCTCTAGATGGTTCTTGGTTAATTGGGAAATGTGGCTCTGTTGTTTCTTCCTCGCTTATTGATGGTTGTTGTTCAGTTGTTTGCACCGCCTCTTTAAATGGTTCCTGATGAATTAATAAGTCTTGCTCTACTGTCGGTGTCATTTTTCTAGATTGTTCCTGGTTTATTGATGGCTCGGGCTCTGGTGTTGTGACTGCATCTTTGAATGCTACTTCGTTTATTGTCGGTTCTGGCTCTGGTGTTGGTTCTGCATTACTATATGACCCCTGACTTATTGATGGGTTCGGCTCTGGTGTTGGTAGAGCTTCTGTAGACGCTTCCTGGTTTATTGCTGGCTCTGGCTCCGGTGTTGGCATTGATTTCCTGGATGGTTCCTGGTTTATTGGTGTCTCCGGTTCTGGTGATGGTAGTGCTTCTTTGGATGGTTCCTGACTTATTGATGGCTCCGGCTCTGGTGTGGGCATTGATTCTCTGGATGGTTCCTGGTTTATTGATGGCTCCGGTTCTGGTGTTGGCATTGCTTCCCTAGATGGTTCCTCGTTTATTGATGGTTCCGGCTCTGGTGATGGTACTGTTTCTCTAGACGCCTCCTGATTTATTACTGGCTCTGGCTCTGGTTCTGGTGTTGGCATTGCTTCCCTAGACGGTTCCTCGTTTATTGAGGGTTCCGGCTCTGGTGTTGGCACTGCTTCTCTAGACGGTTCCTGGTTTATTGATGTATCTGGCTGGGGCTCTGGCTCTGGGGTCGGTACTGCGTCTCTTGACGGTACGTCGTTGATTGCCGGTTCTGGCTCTGGTGTTGGTTCTGCATCACTAGACGGCTTATTATCTGAAAAGATAAAGAGCAGACTCTTTACTGTTTATTTTACTGAGTTTTTTACATATAACCAACCCGACAAATAGTACTGTAATATTGCATCATAATTAAAATTTAGCGGACGCGTTAGATATCTGTTTTCTGGGGATAGCATGCAATATCTGGTAGCTGTTTCCGTCACGTGGGAGGTTAGTTGTAGGATAGATTAGTAGTGTTTTTCCGTATACGTTAGAAGAATAGAGTTTTGCCATCTTGCGTTTTACTATGATGGCTACCCGTCACATATCTAAATGTTTATGCAGGTCAAACTAATAAAAGTCTGTCAAAAAGATGTTCTTGTTAAATTATTTATTGGATTTGTGTTTTTACCGTGTAATTCAGTGTCGTTTGTCTCTTCTGCCGCTATAGGTATGGTGAGGCCGCCCAGAGCTCGCGCTGAACTAATCGACGTATTTTGTTCGAGATGATTTTCCAGTGCAGAATTCGAAAAACCTATTCCGGCTGTAACAGAAAAAAAAAATTCTAATTATTCAAAGCTAAAAAAAAGCGCTTATTAATGACACACATCGAAATTTAGAAGTTAAAAGTCCGTAATTTTTTTTATCGTAAAAACCATACAATTTACTGGTTGTAGGACCTCTTGTGAGTCCGCGCGGGTGGGTACCACCACTCTGCCTATTTCTGCCGTGAAGCAGTAATCCGTTTCGGTTTGAAGGGTGGGGCAGCCGTTGTAACTATACTTGAGACCTTAGAACTTATATCTCAAGATGGGTGGCGTATTTACGTTGTAGATGTCTATGGGCTCCAGTAACCACTTAACACTGGGTGGGCTGTGAGCTCGTCCACTCATCTAAGCAATAAAAAAAAAACTGTAGATTCTGTAGGCCTAGAATTTAATGTCTTGTGTTTGTTAATCGTGGTAAAATAATAAATAAATAAAATGGTCAGGATTACCAGTTTAGAAGATTTTTAAATTAAAATAAATTCAACGAAAGCTAATATAATATTAAGTGAACTGCTCATGAAGCTAAAAAATAACTTACTAGCTGCCAGCACTATTAGTGCAACAATAGCGGCCACAACAAGCGCCAATAGGGTCCAGCAAAGAGGTCGCTTACAACCTCCCTTATCGCCACGTTTGTCCGCCGTCACGTACAACTTTTCACCCCTGAAAACGGAAAGAAAAATATTTTAGTCCATGACAGTCTCCTTTTGCAAGGCCAAACCTCAATCTAAACGAAGGCCCTTATTACCGAGAAGCCTTTACATCATATCACAAAAAAAAAAAACTTCAACCAGCATTTACGAAAATTATTATTTTGTTTGTCAGTTTTGTCTTTTATTACACGATGTTATTCCTTTGTCATATTGTAAACTATTCGTGAACATGAGATAGGTGCAGTAGAAGCTCCTTAATCGCGCCGTCTTCATTCGCGTTTTCACTATTCGCGCATCTAAATCAGTACATCGGTACATACACAAGTATGCAAGTGTTCGACGGAATATCCCATATATGTAAATTTCCACATTAACGGATTCCGTATTGGCGGCATGTTTATGGAACATATATCCCGGGAATGAAGAGATTTTACTGTACATATGTATTTTGTTAAAGGAATTGCTACTTGACGGCGAGATTCGAACGCCGGCACAGTAGCATCGCTCGATACTGGCCCGCTTATTTCTACGGCGAAACACGTGTGTGCTTAAGGCATGCGCTTGCTCTTGCTGTTATGTAAATAAGAATGATAGTGGTGAGAGAAAGATAAGGAGATGAGAAATACTGGTGGTAGGACCTCTTCTGAGTCCGCACGCGTAGGTAACACCACTCTGTCGATTTCTGCCGTGAAGCAGTAATGCGTTTCGGTTTGAAGGGTGGGGCAGCCGTTGTAATTATACTGAGACCTTAGAACTTATATCTCAAGGTGGGTGGGGCATTTACTTTGTATATGTCTATGGGCTCCAGTAACCACTTAACACCAGGTGGGCTGTGAGCCCGTCCCGGCATCTAAGTAAAAAAAATTACTGTTTAAAGGCGAGTAATAGCCTTACAATCTATTCTGTACCTGGATTCCGGTAACCGTTTCAAATCAGGTCGAAAGCTGTGAACTCGTCTGACCATTTGCTCTGATAATAATATCGTATAAGGTATATAAAATTAAAGAATGATACCATTAGAAAAGTATTTCTTTTCACGCTGCGATGATTTAAAGACGCGTGAGTGTTGCTAACGTGATGTACTGGTTGTCGCCTTGTACACTATGTGTTCATACTTTCTTCCTATATCTATTATATACTAGCTGACCCGGCAGACTTCGTAGTGCCTCAATCGATAAATAAAAGATCTAAACTTTATTTAATTCCAATTTTCATATTTATCTTCCTTTTAAACCTTCTCTGGACTTCGACAAATAATTAAAGACCAAAATTAGCCAAAACGGTCCAGCCGTTCTCGAGTTTTAGCGAGACTAACGAACAGTACGTAATTCATTTTTATTTATATAGATTGTTGTCCCGTTGTCTAAATAAAGATCTATTCTTATCACTAGTTAATATAGTTATACCAAAACTAAAAAAATTACAGATTACAGACTAACAGGTGAGTTTTATTTGGTATTGGTCTAATTGGACAGGGAAACTCGCATCGCTGATGCTAATTTCAGGTGGAACCATTGCAGCATTGAACGTTCATTCAACTGCTTTGGTATTCCGATGATACTAGCTTTCAATCTCGATGCTTCTTATTTTTTATTTTTTCCTACCTATGCTGATAGCCTTGAGAGGCTATTTCAGCTGTTGACGTTTAGGTGAACTCACGGGGCTCAAACCGGGAGTGTTGCTAACACTGGCCCCAGCAAGAGCAGTGCTTCGTAGAATCTACCACCGGATCGGAAAGGCAACCCACAGAGAAGATCCGGCGAGAAACTCAGTGGGCTCTGTCTATGCGTTAATTCGCTCGTCGGGCCCTTCGTCGCAAGCGACGGGTTCGACAAGGAGGGTGACCGGTGCTTGTGGTATCTAAAAGCACCGTTAATGGATTGGGAATCCCGATGCATCATCACTTTGCAGAAATAAGAATGTGGTATGTATTCCAATTTGAGGACTCTGACAAAACATTCTAAAAACAGTGAGACATATTGTCTGTACGTCTCGTAGTTTCTGAATTGATCGCAAAAGAATTTAAAAAAAAAAAAATTATTATTTACTTTGTATTTTCCTTTCGTTCCGCGTGGTGATATAAATTGCAGATTTATTTATATCTTAATACTCTTTAATCTTTGCTTATCGCCAACTTTAAGGATGGTAGGACAACATTTTTGCACGTAGCTGATAGCGGGACAACGATAGCATTATATTTTGATAGCATATCGTTCTTGGGATACCCTTATTATTTAATGATATCATTCAGTGCGCTGTTTGTGATTAGAAATTGTTTTATTGGTGACGCTGCGTAGATCGAGTCACGAGCCATTTGTGTGCAAATTTGTATGGAGTTGTAACAGCGCCCCTAGCGGCCAACGAAGGTAAGCTGTTCCAACTCCATACAAATTTGAGTTAACGCGATCGAGAAGTTAATAAACTCACACTAAGCGCACTGATATTAAAAACGTAGGTACTCGTGCCATAGAGTACAATTAGTACGGCATTCGAAGTTGTATTTCGTTTATCAAATGACTATACTGTATCCGAGCTTAAGCTTTTGTTTTTGAAAAATTGTCTTGTATATAGTAGACAATTTTTTTATATTGTGAACAGCTATTGTTTATAGTAAATGTATTTGTTTTACAATCAGTGCAATCTAGCCCGTAGACAGAACCCACTGAGTTTCGCGCTGGATCTTCTCAGTGTGTCGTGATTCCGATTCGGTGGTCAGTTCAACGATGGACTGCTCTTACTAAGGCTAGTATTAGCAAACCCCTAAATATGAGCCCCGTGAGCTTACCTACCAAACCGCGCGTAGTTGTAATAACCCCTGTTGCATTAGAAGCCTTCGGCTCTAACACTAGGAGCAGGCTTAGGGGCCCCAGTAACCATGCTCGTCGAACTCGGCAAAGAGTTCGACTTGCAATCTAACCCATGCATCGGTAGTTGATTCATTCGCGAAGCAGCTGCTCTTGAGTTGTTAGGTCTTCTTTGGAGGCGCTCGCAAATCCTACCCCTCCTAGCTGAGCCTTTGCTCACCCACCTGTCCTGGTGAACTGGAATGGCCTATGGGCCACCACTAACCCTTGAAACATAAAAAAGTAATAACCCCTTACCAATGATTAGGTAAGAAATAAATCTATGTTTTCGTATATCAGTGCAGATACGTCACATTCATTAGTTTCGAACGAAAAGTGTAATGTTATTCGATAATATGAGCTAGTCTTAGTGAAACGTTCAGTTATTCACGTGGACCGTACTCCTATTGTGCCAGTCTTCAAGTACCAGCCCGCGGGCATTGTCCGAGCTATTGAATATGTAACAGCTTTCTAGAAAAAGTTATACTAGTTTTGTGTTTCGGACAGGAGGTGTCGACTCATTGAAAACTCTGTCGGATTTCAGACAATATACGCTTGTGTAACACGTAAATGTTTTTCTTCGACTTAGTTTGAAATTCGAGAAAGCTCATTGATGTTCTCAGCACGTTAATGGAATCTTTAAAATATTAAATGTTCAAATATCGACTGATGAGTTCAGGAAATAATTCAAGTATTTATTCGTTTTTCTGAGAATGTATTTAAGATTATTCCTATATTTCACACAATAGATTAAAAGTATGTTTTATATAGATTAGGTACATCTAATGTGGGCGGTTGTGTTCATTGCTTTACATACATATTTGGGCCCTTTAATGACTTAACAACGGTTAAGCCGTGAGTGAGCCTGAGTTCCCTAACAGGAAATAAGTGGTCAGTAATTAAGTTCACAGCTCACAAACAGCCTATTAGCGGTTTATCTATATAAAAAAGAGTGGCTTAAATTTTTGGATTGTTTTGATCAGATAGTGTAACGGACACGCTCTATCCAGTATCGGAATTATATAAATCGCATTAATGAGCAGATAATACAGATTAAGAATTAATGAGAGATATGTTATCGGTCTGCTTTTGAACTGTGTTTGTTATTGGTATTTCTTTTGAATCATTAGTAAGTAGCACAGTTAAAAGCTATTGTCTTCCACGGTCTCTTTTGACAGTACTCGGAAAATAAAAAATTACATGTGCAATTCACACGTGGTAGAAGTGAAACCTTCCAAAATTAAAATACAATTATCCTAAACGTCTTAAGTACATATATGTAAAATTTTGTCATTAGTAAATAATTGTAAGGTAGCGCCCTCTGTGAATTGATATTTTAATTTCACGTATAATCCTAAATTAAAATTCACTACAAGAGCTTTCATAACACACGTTAGTATTAAAAAATCTCACAGATGGCGCTGTATTAAATAGTAAGTATATTTCTGTCTCATTCTTTGCTGGCTTCATCCTACACATTTTTGTATTTGTGTTTCTTACCTGTCGTTTTTTCCGTTGCATCCGGTTTGAAATCACAACGATTCTAAAGAAGTTTTCACTTCAATAATATTGAAACATAAAGAAAAGTGTTTTTACTGCATCAAGTTGATTAAAATATTGGTTTTGAAGCGTAGATTTTTAAATAATTTGATATTAAAATATTGGTTTTATACGGACCGTAAAACAACCACGATTTTCAAATGATATATTTCTGTTAATGTACTTACGTAAACCTGGACAGCAATGGTACATGTTAACGTTAGAAAATAAGTAAAGTCACCACTGGCCCTTATATTAGACTAGCGACCCGCCCTCGCTTCGCTTCGGAAACATTAAAACACACATGAAACCAAAAAAAAATAATTAAAAAAATAATTAAAAAAGTAGCCTATGTTCATCAGGGACAATGTCGGCTTCTAATGGAAAAAGAATTTTTCAAATCGGTCCAGTAGTTTCGGAGCCTATTCGAAACAAACAAACAAATCTTTGCTCTTTATAATATTAGTATAGATGTCAGGGAGACGATAAAATAACCCATATAAAGTTTAGGCAACCCAACTAATACGAATAAATAAATAAATCAGCAAAAATTTAGTTTTAACGCCACAGGATATCTCTCATTACTCATTATTTTATTAGTTGTTTCCTTTGTGGAAGTCTTAATTGT